GAAAAATTTCCGTTAAAAATCTTATTCCTGAGACCTCAAAAATACAAAATTTGTAGAGAGCTGAAAAAATCATTTTATTCTCATTTTTGATCTTATCAATAAAAATATTTCTAAAAAAAAATATTTTTTCTTAAAAGGTAGGATCATTACCACACATGGAATGGCTCAACGCGATGGGGTTTCCGTTCTGTGAGTTGCGCCCGACTCAAAGCTACTTGCGCTATCGGAATAAACTCAAGGAATATATTTAGCCGTAACGCGACCGCGACGCTTTGAGCCATTCCAAATGCGACCAAAGAGGTTTTCTCAGATGAAAAACAAGAAGCTTAAATGAGGTCGGTGAGTTGCGCCCGACTCAAAACGACTTGCGCAAGGAACTATCGGAAGGGACTAAAGGAGGTTTTGAACCGCAAACGCGACGCCTCGAGCCATTCCCAGTGCGACCAAAGAGGTTTTCTCAGATGATAAATAATGAAAAAAATTCATCAACGAACTCTAAAGAAACTTTTAATGACCGGAAAATGGCAGAAATTCTTACAAAAAAAGATCAAAAAAATCCAAATTGGGGGACAGGACTAATCCAATCGATAGTTTGCACGAGGAAGCAGAAGAAGCTTGAATGCGGCCCGTCGGTTTCTGATCGCTTGTCCTGCTTTTGACGACAAACAAAAAAAAGACAAAGGGACGACTCGCCTCGTTTCGAAAAAAGTCGAATTGGGGGGCAGGAAGTTCAGAGGACACTTTTTATAGTTCTCTTTTTTGAAATTTAGCTTTTTAGATCTATTTTCAATAAGACTTACATATTACTTTATGTAAAAAAATAAAAATGAAAATTTTAAAAAAATGACTTTTTTAGGATTTTTCAAGTGATAATAAATCATTCACGGCTTGGTTTGGACCATCGTGGTCGCATTTGGAATCGTTAAAAACGTCTTGGCCGCATTTGGAATGGCTCAAAGAATCGCGGTCGCATTTGGAACGGCTAAAACCGTCTCAGTCGCATTTGGAATGGTTAAAAACGTCGTGGTCGCATTTGGAATGGTTCAAAGTGTCAGGGTCGCATTTGGAATGGTTAAAAACGTCTTGGTCGCATTTGGAATGGTTCAAAGTGTCAGGGTCGCATTTGGAACGGTTAAAACCGTCTTGGTCGCATTTGGAATGGTTAAAATCATCGTGGTCGCATTTGGAATGGTTCAAAGTGTCAGGGTCGCATTTGGAATGGTTAAAAACGTCGTGGTCGCATTTGGAATGGTTCAAAGTGTCAGGGTCGCATTTGGAACGGTTAAAACCGTCTTGGTCGCATTTGGAATGGTTAAAATCATCGCGGTCGCATTTGGAATGGCTCAAAAAGTTCTGATCGCATTTGGAATAGTTAAAACCGTCTCAGTCGCCTTTGGAATGGCTCGAACTGTCTGGGGAGCCTTGCTCCAATGCTTTGAAATACCAAAACGCGAAAATCGTTTTGGGTCTGCTGCACCTTTAAAAAGGTTTTGAGCCTCAAAAGTGCCACCAGGAAGCTTCTTGGAAAACTTGAGATAATCTTGAAGCGGTCGCATTTGGAATGGTTCAAAAAGTCCTGGTCGCATTTGGAATGTCTCAAGGCATCTTGGTCGCATTTGGAATGATTTAAAAGGTCCTGGTCGCATTTGGAATGGATTGAAGCGTCACGGTCGCAATTGGGATGGCTCAAACCGTTTCAGTCGCGTTATGGCTTACTTCAATGCTTTGAAATACCAAAACGCGAAAATCGTTTTGGGTCTGCTGCACCTTGGAAATTTTATTGAGCCTTAAGAAGGCCATCATGAAGCTTCATATCTAGGAAAGCCTTAAAAATCTTGAAAAAAAATCAGAAAAACTTTTTTTCCATCAGTTTTCCGCTTGAAAAATTGAAGCTCTTCGGAAAAACTCTTATAAAGCCTTTTCAATGAGCTTCATCTAGACTTAAGTCATCACTTTTACTGAATTTTTAACTTATAAGTGTAATAAGAAAGCTACAGTACCCCAAAATTCACAAAAAAAAAGAAAATGAAAAGAACGGCAAGATTTGCAAGGCTTAGAAGTGCGGGTGAGTAATAATCTGGTTCCTTTTTTTTTCTTTCAATTGGTTCTACTTTCATTTTTTGTGTCGCCCCTTCATTTCCTGCTGTAAATTGATCCCACTTTCCATCAGACAGACAAAAAAAAGAAGATATTCTCTTTACACCGTATGCCGTGAATAGTGAAAAAAAAAGAGAAGAGGATGGAAAAAAATGTTTTTGAAGCTTCCGAGCGGGAATTTTCTTTTTTGTTATTGCAAGCCGCGGATAAATTTTATTTGGGCCAGCTGACTGATTGAAATGCCGGCAAAATGCTCTCAATAGAAAGTTATTGGTCTCGCAAAAAAGTTCTGGCGGGAAACTGAGATTCAAAAAAGCCTCAACTGGGGAATTCAGTCTGTGAATTTTTCTTTTCCATGAGCTCTAAAAAAAATGTTCTGTCCGTTTTCTGGTTACTTTAGTTAATTATTAGTAAATTCATTATTTCACATAAATTTTGATTAGACCTTTCCATTAATATAATTTTTTTAACTACAAAGAGGCCATTTTACTACAAAAAAAGTCTAAAAAAGGATTTTTTTAGATTTATACTTCAAAAATTTTTTTATTAAAAATGATCAGTTGAGAAAAAAACCCGTTCAAGGCCTAATTTTTTTCCAAATCAAGGCCTAATTTCCAAATGAGCTGTGATTTGGAAAAATTACGCCTTGGCATTTTTTTGAAGCAAAATTTATGAAAAAAAGGAAAAAAAGCCTATTTTTCACTAATTTTTTTCAATGTACGGCTGATTCCCAGTTAAGCTTTTTTTCTGAAAAATTTTGATTTTGTTTTAAAAAAACTTTTCAAATAAATTTTTTTGAATTTCAGATTCTCGCCAAAAAAACCTGCGTGTTTTGAAATCGCGCTTTTTCTAAAAATTACAATCAGGAAAAAAATAAAATGTTATTTTTTTGAATTTTTCTCTGTCAAAAAAAAAAATTTTTTTTTCATTTTTTTCCCCTCAAAGTCCACCATACCACTTCTATTTTCTGCTGATCTTACTAAAAAAAAAGCAAGGAACACCCTGAAATCGAAAAAAAAAACAAATAAACAATGGCTTCTCATTGGAGTGACCATTTTTGGAAACGTGAGGCGCTATTTTCAAACGCGCTCTATTGACAATGAAAAGAGAAAAAAAAAGACGGGCGGTCTGGCCAAAGTCAACACGGGGCTCGTTTTCGGCTTCGATAAGCGGCGAAAACTAAAAAGATCGAAAAACAAAAAGATCAGATTGCCTAGAGGGCTTGGAAAAATGGAAGAAGAGATGAGATTGGGAGGGGTTCTTAAAGGCGCAGGGCGGAGCTTCGGGTATTTTTCTTGAGAAGAATTTGAAGAAGTAAGCTCTGAAATGTCGGAAAAAGACTGGAAAACAATAAACTTGGATAATTTATAGTTCATTCAGCTTGATTTTTCAAAAGCGCCTAATTATAGTTTAGAGACACGGATTTTTTTGCAATTTTCTTCAAGAAAAAAATTTAATTTGAATAAAAAAATCAATATAAAAAAATAATAAATGAAGAGTTTTCAAAAATCGTAAGCAAAAAGAAAAAAATTGAAAAAAATGCTTTTTTTAAAGGAAAAAAATCACTGTAAAAGTGTTCTGAAATCCATATGAGCGAAATTATGACGTCATCAAGTCACAGCCGAGTCGCAAAATTAAAAAAAAAAAACGACCCGGCTAAATAAAAAAATAACCGGCCCATGTTTATAAATAATTACAGGCTTCAATCATTTCTCCGAGTTCTCAGCCGAGTCGCACGACTCTGCGACTCGGCTAAACGAGTTTAAAGCTCAAGTCGGGTGACGTCACGGCTGTCTCAAAAAAACTTGAGACTTCCGATGAGTTCGGATTTCCTAGTCATTAGCCGAGTTGCAGGGTATTTTTTTGTGACTCGGCTAAAGTTTGTTCAAAAAAATATTTTTTTGGATTTTTTTGAGGGCGGGGAAGTTTTTTTCATGAGTTTAAAAAAATATAATTTAAATAGTTCTTCGCCTCGAGACCTTTAAAAAAATACTGTTTATGCTCCTTTGAATATCCAGAAATGATTTTTTTGAAGTGAAGATAAATGCCTAAAACTTATTGAATTATTAGAAAAGCAAAAAAAGGAAAAAAAAAAAACAAAATTGTCAGTTTTCAACTCAAAATAATCAATTTCAAACCCAAAACTCAAAAAATACGTGATTCGGCTCAACTAGAAATTCGGAAAAACCCATTTTATGACAAAAAAAAACGGGCCGCGATTGCGACAAGTAAACAGATTTTCTTCACCAGCTGCGACGATATTTTTTTTTCTTTTACGCAGGTGGCCTCGTTTTTTCTATTTTTCTTTCCAGCCCTTCCTACGTAGCAAGCTCCAGCATTACAGACATATGAATAAGTGTGATACGCGTAGACAAACGGATTAACGACACAAAAAGAAGGAGAAAAAAAAACGAGGAAGTCATCCCGAGAACCGCCAAAAAAGACGGAAAGTGGACGGCGCCCGCCGGGTCGATAACTACACTCAAATTGCACTCGTCGGAAGGAAAACTAGAAGAAAAATCTCAACGATACACTTGTCAGGAAAAAAAAATGGCTTTCCAAATGATTAATATAAAGAAAACTTGCGAGCCGTGGCCGCAAAACGGACAGCTGCTCGGGATTTCAAAGCATCCATGATCAATTGTTTCGCTTCGTTTTCATCTTTGAAGCTGCCGTCGGTTGATTTCTGGTTCTTCATTGAGGTCGAGAAGTGAAATTAGAGAAAAAAATAATTCAGAAATATTGAAAAAGAAATATTTTCTACGCGCATCATACGCAGCTTTACACTTTGCGGGCTATGCGCTTTTCCACGACAGTTCTTTTTTCCGTATTTTCGTTTCTTTAGTTGAAATTCCCATCTATTTCCATCTATTTCAGCCATGTGGACGCTACGAACATTACGAATGGCTCCATTGGCCGGGTTTTTCACCAGTGGAAGTACCGAAAAGACGAGCGAATCAAAACGAACTTGCCCAATCCAAGTCCTAAAGCCTGAACAGTCCGATTCCGGCGTTTTGTTGAGTAGAAAGGTAAGTTTGAAAAGCTCAAGTTTTTTAAGGATATATATTTTAGATTGTCAATCACTTGGACCGCAGCAACTTGCAATTACGGCTCTATCAATATGAAACTTGCCCGTTTTGCTGCAAGGTTTTTCATTTTTATTTTTTTGAAAAGTAAGAATAAATTTTAAGGTTCGAGCTTTTTTGGACTACTATGGTTTCTCCTATGATGTTGTTGAAGTGAATCCGGTGACGAGGACTCAAATCAAGTTCAGCAAAGATTACAAGAAAGTTGGAACTTTTAAGAATGAGGAAAAACGAAATAAACGAACTTTTTTAGGTGCCTATATTAACATGCAAGGATCGGGTAATAAGCGAATCTTCTTTGATAGTTTCTCAGGTAAGAAACAGGGGTTTTACGAGTTTTTTTAAAAATAAAACACTGCTTTTTTTCAAAAAGATTCCTAAATTTTTTTGATTTCAAAAATTTTTTTCTTCGACTTTTTTTAGTACTAAAAAAATTTTTTTTTGATCAATTTAAAAATAAATTTTTTTGATAAATGAAGCTTCAGAACTCAATTTTTTTCATTGATTTTTCTTCTTTTTATTTCTTTTTTTATGTATAGTCCTTCACTTTAGTTTCTTAAAAAAATCAAGCCTAAAAATATTTTTGGTTCAGAACTTTCACTGCTCTTTTTATAAGCGCAGGAATTTATTATTTTCTAAAAATATCCCTTCGAAGAGCTATTCTTCTCGAGACCCGCATTAAATCCGCCCATGCGCCTTTAATAAGCACATGACATATTTTTCAAACTTTCCACGCTTTTTTCTAAACTTCTAGCTTCAAAATAAAATTTTATCTGGTCAAAATGAGGTGATTAGTTCATTTCCATGCAAAATTTCAGCAGAAAACGCAAGTTTCATTCAATTTTTTTTTCAATAAAACTGAAATTTTCTTCTATTTTTTTTCCAGTTGGCAACGTATTTACATCGACCAGACCGTTCTCTCGAAGAAATCCTCGAAATGTATCCAACTGTCGAATCAACGGATGAGAAGGGCAAAAAGGTGAAAAATATATATACAGAAATCGTTTTTGATTTTTTTCAAGGATTTCTATAATTCTTGAGCTTCAAATTCATTATGGAACATTTATAATTTTTTTCTAAAAAGTTAATTTTACGAATTTTAACCTATTTGAATTTAAAAATATGTTCTTTTTTTCAGATCACGACTCACCCCAACAAGTACTTTGTCATGTTGGAAAAAGGTCGGGACCAGCAGCGAAATGGCCTTGATGAAGTAATAATAATGAAAAAAATTCCTTGAGATTTTTTTAAAGACGCATAGGAGGATTTTTTTAAAAAAATTCTCGAGAAGAACGGTCATTTTTAAGGTTTCTTTAGGTTATTTAGGGGTTTCATGCCTTTTTAAAAATTAAAAGCAAGGTTTTTTTGAACCGTCATTCATTTAAAAACAAAATTAAAAAGAGATTCTCGCTCAGGTTTTTTTAAAGGTGCATAGGCAGATTTTTTTAAACGGTCTCGAGCGGAAGAGCCGCTTCATAAGGTTATTTCAGTTTATTGAATTCTTTCACGTGATTAAAAAAACTGCAGCAAAGAATTTTTTTGAATAATTATTCAATCCAACATTAATTTTAAAAAATCTTTGATTTTTTTAAAGGCGTATGGATTTAATTTTTCGAAAAAAATTCTCGAAAAAAATTTTTCGAAAAAAATTCTTGATGAAATTTTTTTAAAGGCACATGGGAGTTTTTTTAGAAGGGTCTCCAGACGAAGAGTCGTTTTTTTCTTGGGTGATTTTAGTTCATTCAAGACTTTCATACCTTTAAAAAAACTACAGAAAGGGTTTTTCAAACAAATATTTCCACAAAAAAACGAATAAGGCTTTGAAGGCGCATAGGCGAAATTTTTTTGAAAAAGGTCTCGAAGCGAAGAGCCGTTTTTTTAATGGTTTACTGCGCCTTTAAACACTACAGAAAAGTTGAAAAGAATTTTTTATGTTCAAATTTTTTTTTGAGGGAAGAAAGAGAATGGAGGGAATGGGTGGATTCCTGGTTCATCCATCTGATTTCCCCCAACGTCTACCGTACGTGGGACGAGTCTTTGGAGACTTTCCGTTGGTTTGAAAAAGGTCAATAATGCGTTTTTTTCGTTAGAAATATAAGATGGGTTGACCAAACAAATTTTCAAAATTAAAAAAAATCGCAAAACTTTTTCAAATTTCTCATAAAAAAATTGAACAAAAATCCGTCATTTTTTTCACCATTTTTTTAATCGACTTTTTTTCGCCAATAAAGGCTCAAACAGCTCAAAAAGAAAGCAGGAAAAAGTTATTTTCGAGACAAAAAAATTGAGAAGTATGGCAAAAATTCATGAGAAATATCAACTAGAAAAAAAGTAAAAAAACCCAAAAAAATTTGATTATTTCGGATGAAAAATTGAACAAATACGAACATTTTTTTCTGTAATTTTAAAGGTTATTTTGCCAAGAAAAAGGCCCAAAAAGCTAAAAAAGAGAGCAGAAAAAGGTTATTTTTTTGCACAGAAATTATAAAAATTTCAATGGAAAAAGTGAACTAAATCGATCATTTTTCTCCATTTTTGAGAACTTTTTTTTTCCTATTAAAGCCTCAAAAGCTCAGAAAAAGAGCAGGAAAAGATATATTTCACACAAAAATTTAACAGTTCGACGAAAATCCATGAGAAAACATCAATTAGCAAAATTAAAAACACATAAATTTTGAAAGGTGAACGAAATGGATCATTTTTCTCCATTTTCGATCGATAATTTTGTCAATAAAGGCCTTAAAAGCTTCAAAAAAAAGCAGGAATAGTTATTTTCCACAAAAATTGAACAGTTTGGCAAAATTTCATATGGAAACATCAACAGGTAGCAGAATGGGACCGGAATTTCCCGGCCTGGGAACGAATCTTGGCTGTTTACGTGGGCGCCCTGGCCATGTTCGGCCTCTCGAAAAGGCTCAAAAAGCGGTAAAAACGTTGTACTTTTCAACAAGTTGTCTCTTTTGCAGTCATGGGATCGAAGATGAGCGGAAAGCTCTGGAGGAGGCCTGCGAGAAATGGATGCAGGCCATTGGACCAAGTCGCCGTTTCATGGGCGGCGCAAAACCAAATTTGGCCGATTTGGTTCGTTTTTATGATGACCAAAAAAAATTGAACTTTCCAAAGAAATTTCGCTTTTTTCAAAGATTTGCTGCAAAATTTGGACAGTTAGGGCCCTTTTCATGACGTTTTAAAGGTCTTTTTTAACGGTTTTCAAATTTTAATCGTTGCTTTTTTCACAGTTATTTTTGAAAATTCGGATAGGTGTGACCCTATTTATGATTTTTTTAAAAAGGTCTTTTTTTGACAGTTTTTTTGAGATTTTAACGGTCCAAAAAAATTCTTGGAAATAAGTTTAAAATACGAAAATCTGAGCATTTACAACTTCACTGTTTCAAGGGAGGCTAATAAGCAAAGTTGGCCGATTTGGTTCGTTTTTATAAGGACAATAGCAAGAAAAATTAAACTTTCCAGTGAAATTTCGCTTTTTTCAAAAATATACTATGAAATTGGGATAGTTAGGACCCTTTTTTTATTGTTATTAAAAGGTCTTTTTTAGTTTTAAATGATCCAAAAACACTCAAAAATCAGTTTGAATTACGAAAATCGGAGCATTTTCAATTTCACTGTTTCAAGGGAGGCTAATAAGCCAATTTGGCCGATTTGGTTCGTTCTCATGATGGTCTGATGATGGAAAAATTAAACTTTCCAGTGAAATTTTGCTTTTTTCAAAGATATACCATGAAATTGGGATAGTTAGGACCCTTTTCATGATTTTTTGAAGGTATTTTTCGACACTTTTCAATTTTCAAAATACAGATTTCTTCAAGAAAAGCTTGAATTTTCATTACTTTTGGACTTTTTTTTGGCACTCCGGAAAATTCGAACACTTTTCAAAGATTTGCTGGAAAAATCGGACATTTCCGACCATTTTTATGATTTTTAAAAGGGCTTATTCGACAGTTTTTTGATTTTCTAACGGTCCGAAAATTCTTGGAAATCAGCTTGAATTTGAAAATCTGATCATTGATCAAGTCCCCTTTTCAAGAGTGCCTAATAAGTCGATTTGGCTGATTTCGTTTGTTTAAAAAGAGGTGTTGACATGAAAAATGAAACAAAAACAAGCTTTTCAGTGGAATTTCGCTTTTTTCATAGATTTGAATTTGGACAGTTAGGGCCCTTTTCATGATTTTTTAAAGGTCTTTTTCAATGGTTTTTCGAATTTAAATCGTTTTTTTGATTTTAAAAAAGTCTTATTTGACAGTTTTTTGATTTTCTAACGGTCCGAACGTTCTTGAAAATCAGCTTGAATTTGAAAATCTGATCATTGATCAAATCCCCGTTTCAAAAGAGGCTGAGGCTAATAAGTCAATTTGAATGATTTGATTCGTTTTGAAAGCAGTAATTTCACGAAAAATGGAACAATAAAAGAATTTTCGGTGAAATTTTGCTTTTTTCAAAGTTTTGCTGAGAAATTTGGACAGTTAGGGCCCTTTTTATGATTTTTGAAAGGTCTTTTTTGACATTTTTAAAGATTTCAACAGTCGAAAGATACCGATTTTTTTGAAGAAAAAGCTTGATTTTTTTCGTCTTTTTATACTTTTTTTGGCGCTCTGAAAGGATTCGGACGGTTCAGGACTTTTTTTCTAAATGCTATTTTTTTACAATTTTTTTGAGGTAATAATAATTTTTTTTTTTCGGTAGTTTATCCGATTTTAACGCTTAAATCTTACCTAAAACATTCAAAATTAGCGTGATTTGAAAAATCAATTCATTAATCAAGTCCCAGTTTCAAGGGAGGCTAATAAGTCTATTTGGCTGATTTGATTCGATGGTGAGATCGTCTCATATAAAAAAACTTATTAAAAAAAGATAAAAAAATAAAAAAAGATAACCTTTTTTTGATATTCTCCGAAATTCGGACAGCTTTTTACCCTTTTTTTATAATTTTTCTTAAAGGTTTTTTTGACATTATAAAATTTGACCCTTGAAATTTCTGAAAAAAATTCACTTTTTTTCGATTTTCCTGTTTTTCGTCGTAAAATGACCTCAAAATAAATTTCAATTCACGAGAAAAAAATTATTTTGAACTCAATTTTAGCCCTTGAACCGCGAAATCTTCTCATTTCTACCACTAAATTTATTTTTTCCTTCTTTCTTTTTCAAAATTTCTCAAAAAAATTCACAATCCAGGTATATAGGAATTTTAAGAAATAGCCTGTATTGATTTAAAAATCAGAAATAAAAAATGGATTGAAAAAAAAATCAATACTAAAAAGCGTCCGAAGTGATCGAGTTTTAAAGAATAAGAGTGAAAAAATGAAAAAAATGAACCTTTTCTGATGAAATGACAATTTTCCTTCCTCCTTGTGCTCTTCGTATCATCTTCGAGCTTGAATCCCCAGCGATTATCCGTAGGGCGCACTTTCCCAGAAGAGATTAGGCCATTTTTTCGATTATCTGAAAGGAAAAGCTCTCATTTTTGAACTTATAGTTTCAATAACGTGGTCGAGCAAAAAACAGGCGTTTAATAATCTGAGATTATCTTTAGAGCGCACTTTCATCAGAAAAGGGGCCTTTCAAAAAATATTGAAACAAAATTGTCAATAGAGCTTAGATTTAGTAGGAAATGATTTTTTTAAAACTGGTTCCAAAGTTTTTTTAACTTACCGTTTCAATAATGTTGATGGAGCGGTTTGAGAAAAAAACAGGCTTTTCTGAGATTGTCCTTAGAGCGCACTTCTATCAAAAAAAAGAGCCTTTTCAAATGATTAAAATGAAGTTATCAATAGGGCATAGATCTACTGGGAAAGACCTTTTTTTGAAAACTGGTCCTAAACTTTATTTTGAACTTATAGTTTCATTAACGGCTTGGACCTTGGTAACGCGAATCGGACGTGTCGGGGCATTTCTAGTGACCACTTTAGTAGCCTCAACACTCTCAAGTGGTCCCTAGAATCGGTCAGAAACGTCAGGAGCACGTCCGTTTCGCGTTACCAATGTCCGAGGGTGATGGAGCGGATCAGGATGTTAATAATCTGATATTATCCTTAGAGCGCACTTCCATCAGAGAAAGAGCCTTTTCGAAATTATCAATAGAGCATAGATCAATTGAATAATGAACTTTTCTTTCCAAAAAGTAGTTTCCAAAAAAAATTTTTTAACGGTTTATGAAGCACTTGTAACGTCTGAATGTGTGCCTTCAACGTGTATCGGATTCTGGGGCAAAACCGGGCTTACCAGACAACGCTAAAGTGGCCACTAAACCTCTATAGTGGTCACTATTTTCCGTTTTAGGGGCCACTATAGAGGTTCTCTATTTAGTGGCCACTTCAGTAGTTTTTTATCCATTTTTCCTTCCAGTAACTCTGATAATTTCAAAACAAATAGATTGGACCAGTTATGTTGATCCACGGACCCCTAAGTGGCCACTTAGTGGTCTAGTAGTAGCGCTTAGACCTCTATAGTGGCCACTAATTTTCAATCCCCTAAGTGGCCACTAATTTGACGACTATAGTGGCCACTAAAACGTCAAAACCTTATAGGGGCCACTAAAAATTTTCACAGCGATTTTTATTCCGTAGTGCCTTGTACTAAGCCAGAGTGAGGTGGAAATCAATAAAAACAAATATTTCATCAATTTTAAAGCTTAGTTATACTTTTTTCAAGATAAATAATAAATTTCTCAATTTTAGGCCCTATTCGGTGCCATGAACTCCTTCTACGGCTGTCGGGCGTTCAAGGAAGTCATTTTGAAGGGGAAAATCGCGGTTTGGTGGTCGGATATGAAGTCCGCCGTGGAGAATCACGAAGGAAGAACGATTCTGGAAGCTCGTTCTAAAGGAAAATGAATTTCTATTGAAAAAAATGGCTAGGAAACATAGAATCTAGCACAAAAATCAGCCTTTTTTTAGCTTCAAAAAAATTTTTTAAGTAATTTTTCTATTGACCTTCTTCCTTTTTTTGGTATGAAATAAGGCTAGGAAAAAAATAGATTTTGAGTCAAATTTTGACGTTTTTTTAAACATAAAAAAACTTTTTTCTGAATTTTTTTATCGTTTTTTTCTGTTGTTTGGATGATTATTTGATTTTTTTTACATATCTATATATTTTTTTGTTGTTACTCGTGATTTTTTTCGCTTAAAAAAATGAATTTTTGATCTTTAAAAAAACTTGAAAAAAATCCTCATTTTTCTTGCAAAAATTTCCGAAAAAAATGATAATATTTAATCATAAGGGAAAAATAATCGAATAAATACAAGTTATGGGAAGCAAAAAAAAACGAAAGAAATCACAGAAAATGAGCAAGCAGCACGGCAAAAAAGAAATTCATGTGTTTCGCGACAAAAAATCAATAAATTGTACCGGTAATCGATTTGTTCAGTGTGATCGGTGGACTAACAAAATTTTGAAAAATTCAAAAAAACCGAAATTTTTAAAGCTTTCAAATGTTGAGGTAAACGAGAATAAATAGATATCTCCGCAAAAAAAAATATTAGTAGTAGCCTTTTTTTTGTCAAAAAATGAGAACAGGAAAAATCAGGGTACACAAAAAAAGAGATTCAGGATCGTTGGGATTTTATATTATTTATAATTTTTGACTAGAACTTTCGGGGGGAATAATTAACCTAGATACAAACAAAGTAATGCACATGAAATTATACCTGAATATTCGATTAATTTCCAAAGTAAAAAAATAAAAACAAAATATCCCGCAAAACAAAAGAAAAGAGGAAAAATGTGACTAGATTCGAATTTGTGCGATTCAAGGGACGAAAATTGGCGCCAAAGGGGTCAAAAAATGGGCGAAAAAAATTGGCGCCAAAGGGGTCAAAAATGGTCAAAAAATCGGCGCGGGAAAAATCAAAAAATGCATGTCTAATTTCTTAAAAAATAATGCAAATTTCGGAAAATTCTCATAAAAATCAGATTCTACTTGAGAAGGTCAAAAAAATGAAATAAATTCAAATTTCGCGCCGATTTTCATTCCCAGGGCTTAACATTTTTTTAAAAAAGGAGGGATTTTTTTAACACCGATGCGAGATGTAGTCGTGGACCGCCTTGTAACAAAACTCGTACTGTTCCTGAAAATTGGAAAATTTTTTGAAAATTTTCAATGAGAATACAGTTTTTAGTTTTCTTTAAATTGCGCTACAAAAAAGGGTAATTCAGTAATTTTAAAACTAGTGTTCGGTAGTTTGATTGAATTTTTTGGTCAGAAGGGTGGATAATGGCCGCAAAAAGGCCTGAAAAAGGGTCCCTTTATCAGAGCCTCCCATTTTTTTCCAGAATTTTTTTCGTCCAAAAAAACCTAAACCCCTTCTTTTTACTAGAAAAAAGAAAGATTTTCTTTAAAAAAACACCTCAAAAAAATTTTTCAAAAAGAGCAAGTCAAATTAGAAGCCTACTCTGTCATCAAAAGTCGATTTTTTTAACTTTTCCTCTCAAAATCACCTTTTTTTCGCGATAAAAAAATGATAATTTTTTTGACACAAAATGACACCAAAAATTCCTATTCTTTTCATTAGTCCTATTATATACAAAATTACTCATAAATCCCTTTTTTTTTCGAAAAAGAACAAGTTCTCACTAAAAATCACATTTACGGGCAAAGTCCAAAAGGTCCAGAAAGTCTCAAAAAAGAGGACCTTTTTCTGAGAAGGACCTTTTAAGGAGGCGTAAAAAAAAGAAGGTGGGAAAAGGTGATTCCGAGAAGCTTTTGACAACTTTTTAGGAACTCAAAAAGGAGCTTTAGGCTCTTTTTTGAAGTCGTTTGGACCAGGGATGCCCGAGACGAGGTTTTTTCATCTCTAGAAGAAATCGAGACAATTAGTAATGAAAAAAATTCAAATTTTTGTTTCGAAATAACACTTGAAAATGACCAAAAACTCAAAAGTGTGCGAAAACTTCTCTTTATTGAGAGATACTAGGTTAAATCAAAAAAATGCCCCCGTCAATTTTTTTGACCGAGACGAAATCGTGTTTCGTGCCTCCCTGATTTGAACGTTTTCTGTGTCAAAAAACCAAAAACCATCTATTTTCCTAGAAAGGACAACTCACAATGCGACTGAACATCATGGGCCGCTGGACTTGCAAGTCTCGGACGGTCTGGAAGACGTCGATCCGCTGTTCGGTCTTCCATCTGAGCAGCAGAAGGGAGAGACAGCAGTAGACGCCGGTCTCCGAGGAGCCGTTCCGGCAGTGGAGCAGGATGGGGCTGCAGGCGGCGAGACCCGACTGCTGTTCCAGGACGCGGCCGATCAGCGACAGCAGCGGCGCCGAGTCCGACGGCACCACTTCGTCCGTCGGCCAGCCCGTGAACGCGAACTGCACGACTTCTGCAGGCACGCTCCCGTCCGTCTGCAACCATATTTTCCGTTTCAGCAACCTTTCAAAGTTGATTCATGTCTGATTTCAAGCAATATAGATAAACTGCCGAGCTACGGAGGCTTTCCCTTCAAAGCTCGCAGCTCGTCTCTCCGCATGCGCCTTTAAATTAGCCCGAAACTTCCCGTGCTATTAAAGGCGCATGCACAGAAACTGTCCGAATGGTTCTGTAGAATGGGTAATATTGATTTTTCCCGAAACTTTCCATTTTTTTTTGAGTAACTGAAACTAAAATAATCCTTCCGGGCTTCGAAAATATGCAAGATAGTCAATCCGACTGATTAATCCCTAAAGGCATCCCTCAAAAATCTCGTTCAAAGCTCGATTCTGAAGGATTTTTGGAAGGCCCTTGTTTTGACAGAAAGTTTTTTATAGCCCATTCTGCGCGAATTCGTTCCGATTTTTACGTCCCTTCGATACTTGCGGCCTGTGTCTGCGCATGCGCCTTTAATAATATGGAAATTTTTTGCTGAAAAAGCTGCAGAACTCTCCCGGAAAGCTTCCCTTCGATTCCCGAGGCATGTCTAAGCTTAGGCGCCTTTAATAGGACGGGCATTTGTAAGCTAAAAGGGCTACAGAACTCTTCCGGAAAGCTTCCCTTCGAGACCCGCGGCGTGTCTCTGCTTATGCGCCTTTAATATGACGGAAATTTGTAAGTAAAAGGGTTTCAAAATGATCCCGGTAAGCTTCCCTTCGATACTCGCTGCTTGTCTGTGTTTATGCGCCTTTAATATGGCGGGAATTTGAAAACTAAAAAGGCTACAGAAGTCTTCCAGGAGGCTTCCTTCCGAAACTCGCGCGCTATCTTTAAGGATGCGCCTTTAACTTAGCTTGAAAATTTTATTAAAGGCGCATGCCCACAGACAAGCCGCGCGTTTTGAAGGGAAGAGTTCTGTAGCTCGGATTGGGCTATTTTGACTGTTTCGGAACACCTTTCTAGTCTTTTTTGAAGACGGCGTTATGATAACCTTTCTATGTTGTAGAACACAAATTTTAGGATTTTTTGGAAAAGTAGTTTCCGAGATACGGTAGCTCAAAGGGTTACTGTGAAAAGCAAAAAATCGGCAAAAATCTTGAAAAAAGTTTGTCACAAGGCACAAAACAGTTTCATTTGTACTTTAGACCTCATTTTTGCTGATTATTGCTCATATTAGAGCTTTTCCTGGAATTTTTTCTAGTTTTTGAAGTTTTTTTCATCCCAAAAAATGGCCCTAAACCAACCTTCATGTCATAAACCAGCCTCCTCGTGATAAAATAAGGAGATCGTTCTTCTTCAACCATCGTGACTTCGACCAAATTCCTTCCCTGTCTCAGGGTCATCGTTCGGTTCAATTCTTCCGGCCAGTACTGAAAAATCAACCAATTGAAATGGATTCCTTCTTCTGCCAAAACCTTCTCGGAAAGGCTCCACTCCTCCTCCTGGGACAACATCACTACAGTGGCCACTTCTTGGTCGGTAATCATCCTCCAGAAGTCGTAGGCCGTCCCTTCGCTGACCGGATCTTGGGCCGCGATGTAGGGGTAGAAGTAGCCCTGCAGGAAGGAATTTGTTTGATTGAAATTAAAGGCATAGGGGCAGTAAAAAATGAGGTTTCAGGTGAAAGCAGTATCTTATACAGTTTTTCTCTGCGAATCGAATGGTGTACTCAAAAAAATTACAGATGTGACAACTTTTGAAGAAAAACGCGATTTTACTTTCACGCGTTTAATTTTGAAAAATTCTTGGGATCGGTGCTCAGACAACTGATTACAGTAGTCGTGCACGCGATGTTGCGGACGTCTCATTAGACTCGCATTTTGTCAGAAATAACCGGATATCTGCTTCAAATTAAGGGTTTCTTTTCTGAAAAATCGATTAGAAAAACAGAAAACACACATTGATAATAAAGAAAACACAAATAATCGACATCCCCGTCGAAACTTGTGTAGAATCATCATTTTTCACCAGAGAAGCTTTTTTGCAATCAAAGTTTGCAATTTATACATGAATAGAAAGCTTTTGTGACGAAAAGAACTTTGGTGACAACAGAAAAAATTGAAAATTAAAAGAAACGAAGAAAAAAGCGAAAATCCGGAAGATGGCGAAGCCTGTTGTCCATAGAGCAACTTTACTGCAAAGCGCCCTTTTTGCGGGAATTCAAGCTTTCCTCTCTCCGACTTTGAATTATTTTTTCTCCAAAACTAGAAAGTTTGGTACATTTCCAAATTCACCGTTCGATTCGCAATGAAAAGCTCTACAAAGTACTGCTTTGAACTGAAACACCGTTTTTACTGCCCCTATGCCTTTAAAAGTGATGATTCCTGTCAAACCTTGATATTGGAAGCATTGATGTAGGTGGCGTCGGATTGGCCGATCGCCGGGCTCAGGATAACCCGGTTTCGATCATAAGGAACGGCGGCCTCGAACCGATTCTTCAGCAAGTTCTCGTCTTTGTGGGCGAACGTCGACTTTGGTGATGTTTCCAGGGATCGGTCCAGCTTCTGAAAAATGGTTATAATAATAATGAGAACATTTATTCCATTCACTAGTCATTGACAGAACAAAGAATTCGAAAAGGTAGTTTTCACACTTTTCAATGAATTTAGTCCTTTTATGAAAAACTTTCACAAAAAGCTCATAAAAGTTAGTTTTTCGTGAAATTATCTTCAAACGCAAATAAGATTTCTAATTCGTCCTTTGATAATTTTTTTAAGAATTGATCAGAAAGAAATGTTAATTATTTCTATGAATCCTATTAACTTTTTTGAACTCACAACTTGAACTTCATCATCATCATCAATATTTATTGGTTGTTTTAGTCAGATGGAAAACTTGAAGCAAGAAAAAAGTTTACAGGTCTTTTTTTTTGAACATATTTTTTTTACGGGCCCGAAACTCGGCTCCCATTTCAGTGAAAAATCGTAGAAAAAAAGGCCAATTCTCCAAATTTCTTCTACAAGTGACCCCAAAGGTCACACACCTTTATTTTTCATGTTTTATCCATTTTTTCGTCATTTCTTGAATATCTTTCCTTTAAACTACCCTTAACTTCTTCCTTTCCTCTAAAAAAATCATAAAAGGGTAAAAAATAATTTATTTATTTTAGAAGTCTCCCCGAAGGCCCTTAATTTTTTTCCACTACTTTCTCGTATTTCTAAATATTTTTCTTCCAATCACCTAATAATAATCGGCTGTAGTTTCATATAAAAATCTTGAAAACGTTGAAAAAAAGTTAATATTTTTTTTCAGGTGGTATGAAAAAAACACCAGCGAAAATTCAAACGGCGGCTTTTCCGATTTTTTCATATCGCTAGGGAACTTTCCGACGGCCACCTTTCCGACGAAACTTTTTCCGACTTTTTTCCCTTATGCTTTTCGGTTTATAAACATCTATTAACATTTTTTTCTATTTCTTTGTGTTTTAATCATGAACCAACCATCTACTTTGTATAGGAAGATGTAAAACGAAGAGTTTATCGAGAAAAAAAAGTCGGAAAAAATTTCGTCGGAAAGGTGGCCGTCGGAAAGTTCCCTAGCGATATGAAAAAATCGGAAAAGTCGCCGTTTGAATTTTCGCCGGTGTTTTTTTCATACCACCATTTTTTTCATGAGCCTCCAAAAAAGGCCACACGACTTTTTTTCGTCACTTTTATGTTTTTTTCTAATAATTTCCCTTAAAATGAGTTAAAAAAATCGGCTTCCATTTCATTAGAAAAATTTTAAACGCGTAAAAAAAGTCAGCTTCTTTTTATTTCTCTACAAGTGCCCCAAAAAGCCCAAACAACTTTTTCTCCCATTTTTTACCAATTATTTCCCTTAATACCACCCTAAAATCGGCTTCCACTTCATTAGGAAAATCTAAAAAGCGAAAAAAAAAGTCAGCTTCTTCCCGTTTTTCTCTACAAAGGCCCCAAAAAGGCCGCCCTTTTTCTTTCATTTTTTTTCCCTTCAACCAACCCTAAACTCGGCTTCCATCCCCGTCAGATGTTCGTCTTTGGCGATGGCCCTGGTGGTGATTCCATTGAAGGAGGAGATTCGGTTCCTTTGGGTCAGGTTCCGGAAATGCTCCCGGAACTGTCCCGAGTCCATGTCCGTGTATCCGTAGAGGTGCCATTCGGCCAGGGCTTTGTAGATGAACACGTATTGATCCTGGAAAAATATATTCATAAAATCAAAACCGAATGGGGGAGAAAAACCAATAAATATTCACTTCTTTTTGATTTTGAAGGCCTTAAACCCAAATTTCAACATTACATGAAACTTTTCCATAAAATGATCAGTCAAGTTTGTTTTAAAACGTAAAATTCAAAAAATAATAAATTTCGCAAAATTTTATGTCGAAAACAACCCAGAAAACGGACTGAAACATTCGTTTGACTCAACGTTTTATTAACCAAGTGAAACAGGAAAGTTCGTGAAACAAATTTCATCAATTTATCAATTTTTTCAGGCACATTTTTTTGTACTATTCAAAGTGAGGATCCACCCTAAAACATGACAAAATTTCTGAAATAATAAGTTTCAGTAGAAAATTTTCCAATTTTTGATTTTTTGAGGTTATCATAAACAGTTCAAAATAAGAAAAAAAGCATATTTTCATCGAAAAAAAATACTTTCGCTGTGACATGGACCATAATATCGAGAGACTCTTGTCGAAGTACGAAAACTTGTAAGAACAAAGAGTAAAGAAAGTTTTTTGAGCGATATCGCAGCTCCCCCGCGGCATAGGGTTACTCTCGGCATGGACCAAAATATCGACAGACTCTTGTCGACTTGCAAATATTTGTGAGAATGCAGTTTGAAGCGATTTATAAAAAAAGCGATATCGCGCGAGACATTGCGATGTCGCAGCTCCCCCGCGGCATCGCAAATGTCCATAATATTGTGAGACACTTTTTAAAGTTCGAAATAACGTAAAAATGCATTATTTACCTGCGACTGGACCATGAAATTCCTCTGCCTTCGAAGTTTCGCGACAAATCCGAAAATGTCCGCTTTTCCCTCGGCTTCGCACTGATCTAACATACTGTCGATCGCCATCAGAGTTCCAGTTCTACCGACTCCGGCGCTGAGAATAAGAAAATAAAATGAGGAGAAGAGTTGAATTCTACTCTATTTGAGGCTGTTTGGACAAGTTTTTTTAAAAAATCATCTTTCAAATTTTTGAATTGAAAATAATTTTAGCATTATTCTCGACTGTCAAGATGATATGAACCAAAAGAACCAAAAAAATTCTCGAAATTTTCGAATTTTTTTTCTAAGAGCGACATCGCGCAAGACATTCGCGACATCGCGATTCCCGCGCGATATCGCGAAAGATGATTTTTCGTGGATTTTTTCCGTTTTTCAGGTCAATTCCGAGTGAATATTGATTCTACCTGCAATGAATGACGACAGGTGACTCATTGAACTGCGGGAGTTGCCTCAAAACGTGGACGAATCTCAAAAGTCCCGTGGAACTTTCCGGCGCCTTGTAATCGCTCCAGTTCATGTAGTGGTATTGGAAGACTCTTCTCGCTGGAAAAAAAGGTCAAATGAGGGAGGAAAAGGGTCGGAAAAAAAAATCAAAGAATTTTTAAAAAATCGACACTATATCAATTATTCATATAGGAAATTTTTTAAAATTCGGAAAAACTTTAAAAAAATTATAAAAACTGCGAAACAGAAACAAGCTCTTTCCACTCCCAAAATTTTTACATGAAAAGCTGGAAAAAATAGGAAAATTCTCAAATTTTCATTCAACTTTACTTTTAAAAAATACAACGAAAAATCACTTTTGTTTGATAAAACTCACTATTACTAGCAAAAGCAGCCGAATTTCGGATCACCGGAACGTTGGCGTACTCCGAAGAAGCGTGCGACTCGTTGCAATTGCTGGAAGAATACCTTTTTGCTTTTCTCCAAGTCAAAAGACCAATAAAACAACTATTTCGGGACATTATTGTCGCTGTTCGAAGCTTTTGACGACATATTAAACGTAACACTAAAATGGCAGAAACTCCACTATTTTCAAGAAAAATTGAAACCGGAATCTAACCAAAAAGTTAGAAAATTCCACCAAAACCGGAATTTGGAGCAATTATGCTCTTTCGACAAAACCTTGTCATTTTTTAAACTTTTATAAATTCACAAGGTAAGTAAGTTTCAACGAAAAATTGCACTTTTTCAAGCACTTTTCAACGAAAATTTAGGTCTAAAAATCTGTATTTTTCAAAAATCATATCTTCAAAGCTAAAAGTTCTTACAAAAAGCCACTTTTTCCAGAGGGTTTTCGAAAAAATCTATAGGTATTTTTAGACAGAAAAATTCTAATTTTTTTCGAAGACAAAGGGGGAAATTTCAGCGCCTGGTATTACATAGAAAAATAAGAAAAAAATCCAATTTTTGAAGATTATAGAAATTATCCTTGTCTGTGAGGTGGTATAATTCGAGTAGAAAGCAAAAATTTGAGGAAAAACCATTTTTTTTTTCGAATTTCACGGCCTCCCTTGTAAATTTCAACAGAAAATCGATTCTCAGACACGCAGGTGCCCACCAGCCTACCGGAATCCGGCTACAGTAAGAGGAAATGGCTCAAAAAATTGCGTCCTCATCACACTGGATGAAGTTTCATCAGAATCAAAAAATAATTTTTTTTGTGACCACTGATTTTGAGAATTACAGAGACTGCGTGTAGGTATAGGGGCAGTAAAAAACGGTGTTTCAGTTCAAATCAGTACTTTGTAGAGCTTTTCATTGCGAATCGAACGGTGAACTTAGAAACGTACAGAAGTTCCTAGTTTTGGAGAAAAAATAATTCAAAGTCGGAGAAAGGAAAGTTTGAGTTCCTGCGAAAAGAGCCCTTTGCAGTAAAGTTGCTCTATGGACAACAGGCTTCCCCGTTTTTCGGATTTTCGCTTTTTTCTTCGTTTCTTTCAATTTTCAATTTTTTCTGTTGTCACCAAAGTTCTTTTCGTCACAAAAACTTTCTATTCATGTATAACTTGCAAACTTTGATCGCAAAACTTCTTTTCTGGTGAAAAAGGATGATTTTACACAGGTTTCGATTGGGATAGCGATATTTTGTGTTTCCTTTATTATCAATGTGTGTTTTCTGTTTTCCTAATCGATTTTTCAAAGGAGAAACCATTCATTTGAAACAGATATCCGGTTATTTTCCACAAAATGCGAGTCTAATGAGACGTCCGCAACATCGCGTGCATGGCTACTGTAAACATTTGTCCGTAGGCCGATCCAAAGCTTTTTTCAAAATTAAAGGCGGGAAAGTAAAATCGCGTTTTTCTTCTAAAGTTTTCCACATCTGTAATTTTTTTGAGTGCACCATTCGATTCGCAAAGAAAAACTGTATAAGATAATGGATTCACCTGAAACCTCATTTTTTACTGCCCCTATGCCTTTAAGATTCAACATTGAAAATATTTTTTCAAAGTTCTTTTCTTTTAAATTTTCCTTTTCAAAACCTAGGAGTCGGGGAGAATCGACTGGGCAGCAAGGACCCCAGATTCATGTAGGTGACGTCGAAACTGCGAACGGCGAAATCGGAAAAGTACGTCGATTCGACGGGTCGGACGAGGATTTCGCCGAATCTTCAAATAAATCTCATTATTCGGGACATCTCGGGCGGTGGCCCAACTCCATGGGGGCGTCGTCGGGCCAATATTTGGCGCATTTCTGTCGATTCTTCTCGTTCAAGTTGGTGACCATGATGATTAGATAGGATTCCTGTTCCCAGACCATCCGCCAGAAATCGGCGATCGTCGTGTCCAACGGCGCCTGGGCGGCGATGAACGTCTTCTCGCCCGTCCAACTCTTCAAATTTCAGTTTTCTGTTTTCAGAATATAATATATAATATCACAGGATGCTCGAATTTGATATTCATTCCTGAAACTTTATCAAAAAGGTCCATTTTGAAGACAAAAATAAAGATTTTTCTATGTTCTTTGTGCTACAAATTTTGAATTTTCCAACATTTTCGAAATTTCTGCTTGAAAAAAAGTTCAAATTCAAGAACTCGCTTGAAATAAACTACTGAAAATCTCCTTCAAAGCTTCATATTTAAAAAAAACCAAAAGTTATTTTCCCTCTAATGAGAAAAACCTCATTTTTCTGCTTCTTTTCTTAGATCTCTTTCTAAAAATGCGATATTTTGAACTAAAAATCTTGGAAATCAACTTAAAATGGAATTTTAAATTTATCACCTCCCCATGAAGATTTTCCATACCTAAAGGGGCCACTAAAGCTTGCAAAAGTAGCCACTCTAGGGGTGCCAGTTAGTTATCACTCTAGGGCAATATTCTAGTGGTCCCTACACGTCTTTTTAACATTCAAATCTGGACAAAAATTGAAAAATCCCTCCAGGGACCCCTAAAGCTCGCAAAAGTGGTCACTCTAGGGGTTCCAGTTAGTTATCACTCTAAGGCAGCAGTCTAGTGGTCCCAATAGTCTATTTAACATTCCAATCTGGACAAAAATCAAAAAATTCCTCTAGGAGCCACTAAAGTTCGCAAAAGTGACCACTCTAGGGGTTTAAGTTATTTATCGCTCTAGGGCAGCATTCTAGCGGTCCCTACACGTCTTTTTGACACTCAAATCTGGACAAAAATCGAAAAATCCCTCTAGGGCCACTAAAGCTCGCAAAAGTGGCCACTCTAGGGGTTCCAGTTAGTTATCACTCTAGGGTAGCATTCTAGTAATCCCTATACCTCTTTTCATCATTCCAATCTGGACAGGAATTAAAATATCCCTCTAGGGGCCACTAAAGCTCGCAAAAGTGACCACTCTAGGGGTTGCCGATGATTTTCACTAGGACAGCAGTATACGTCTTTTTAACACTCAAAAAACAACAAAAATAATACAAAAAAATTCCTGTAGGGACCACTTCAGCGTCAGGGCCTCAGGAATGAACCTCTGAACCCCTAGAAAGGCCACAGTTCTCAAGAAACCACTACTTTATCCCCTATAGGGGCTGCTTTTCCCCTAAACCCTTAAATGACCACTCTGAAGCTTCTCAAACCCCACACAAACCTTGACATAATTCGCATTGATATAATCCGAATTTTCATCGCCTTCGATTTTGTTCAGTTTGACACGAGTTTCATCGAAAGCCCGGATATCATTGTACCTGCAAAAAGCCATAATTTAACAAAAATTCCCGTTTCGGAGAAACGTTTTAGTATATCACAATAGAGGAGCTATTCCCGCTGAAAAGCAAAAAAATAATCAAGTAATTTTCAAGTTTTCGAAAAAACGCGGTCGCGATGCGATTCTCGACGCGATATCGCATTCTTGCGATTTTTTCTAAATTTTCATTTATGGAATAGAGATTTCGATAAGCTGTTATTAATCTTATAATAAAAAAAAAAGCCAAAGCGCCTTATTTACAAGGTTTTTTGAAACAGGAAACTTGTAAAAAATCGAAAATTTTCAAAATTGGCGCCAAAAACCGCGTCGCGACCGCATCGCTTCGCTACCATAGTCCAGAAAACATGAAAATGAAACTACTGAAATAAATTTCATTTGAAATTTTTTAGGATTTGCGCGTTTATCTAATAAAGAAAAAGCCGAAGCGCCTTCTTAACCAGGTTTTTTGAAACAGGAAACTTGGATAAAATCAAAAACTTTTGAATTGGCGCCAAAAACCGCGTCGCGACCGCAACGCTTTGCTACCGTGGTAAACCGAACATGAATATGAAACTACTGAAATCCTCGCTTTTATTTGAGATTTGCCTTTAACTAAGAATGAGCCAAAGGACCTTGTTTAGAGGGTTTTTTGAAACAGGAAACTTGTGAATAATCAAAAATTTTCAAATTTGCGCCAAAACGCGTCACGACCGCAGCGCTTTGCTACCATAGTAAACCGAACATGAATATGAAACTACTGAAATCATCAATTTTATTTGAGATTTGCCTTTAACTAAAAGTGAGCCAAAAGACCTTGTTTAGAGGATTTTTTGAAACGGGAAACTCGGGAAAAATCAAAAATTTTCAAATTGGCGCCAAAAACCGCGTGGCGACCGCAACGCTTTGCTACCGTAGTAAACCATACATGAATATGAAACTACTCAAATCCTCGTTTTTAATCTTACATTCACCTTCAACTGAAACAGAGCCAAAGGACCTTCTTTGGAAGGCTTTTTGAAACAGGAAACTTGAGAAAAGCGAAAATTTTTAAATTGGCGCCAAAACCGCGTCGCGACCGCAGCGCTTTGCTACCTGACATGGAAAAAAATACTGAAATTTTTTTAATAATTTCTTGGCTTTCTTATTTTGCAAAAATTACCCCTACAACTTCCTCTGTATCATGTAAAAAAACTGACCGATTCTTCAAGCTATTTTCTTTTTTCGTGCTGGCCGAAGATTCCAAGGCGAAATGCGGCAGGGACTGGAAAAAGTTCATTTTTGAACTTTTTTAAAATCGAAAAATGCCTCGTATTCCTGAGCGAAGAGGAAATCCGAGTCGCGATGTCTGATGATGTATTCGGTGGGGAGTTCTTCCAAGGGGACCGGGTTGTAGATGGGTTTCAGAAGGGCGCGATCAACGCCGTCCTTCGGCATCAAACGCGACAGGCACCAGCTGCGGATCATCGCGTTTCTTCTGAAATAAAAAATGGATTTAAATATTCAACTTTACAGTTTCAAAAATATGATTTGAAAGCCGCGTATGATCACATTCTCGCTCCCGTAACTTTGGGGAAAAGGATAAAATTTGAAAATTGCGTAAAAATTTGTTATCAGCGATAAAATTCAAAGTAAATGATCAAGTTAGTCTTTCAAATTTTCAAATCTGCAAAAATAAATTAAAAAGACCCTATAGGGACCACTTGAGCGAAAACATGGCCAGATTGAGATTTCTGGATGAAAAAACATTATTTTCGAAACAAACCTTTGCAAAATGAACATTCCGACGGCTGTGACCATGGCGAGGAAGACGAAAATCGGGACGAAAACCTTCAGAGCCGTTCCATACCCGGTTCCTCCTGAAACAGTAAAGTCAATCAAAGTCAAATATTTCAAACTTCGATTTGAGAAATTTGATGTTAAAAATTTGAAAGCCGGGGTTTGAAAAATTAATTTGATGCTCCAAAATTAGAATTTTGGGTTCGTAACAGCTATTTTTTTTCACTAAAACTTGAAAATTGGTATTTTTTTACTAGATTGAGGGGGGTTTAAATAAATTTTTCAAAAAAATTTTTATTTTTTTTGATGGCTATAACTAATTTTTTTCCTAGGAATTTTTTTCGAGTTCTAATCATTTTCTGAGTACCCAATACAATACAAAACAATGAATCCTCACCATCCTCAGTTGGCAAGAAAACGGGTTTGAAATATCCACTGTATCCATAGGCCGGGCCGCTCAAATGAAGTTGTCGGAGCGTTCTGGAGCTCGTCGTTTTCGAAGAATTCTTTTCCCGATCTCGTTCCAGTCTTGAAAAATGTCTTTCATTTTTTCGTTACCGTTCAAGGTACAAATCTCCTTAATACTCGACGAAAATTGGCATATAAAAAAGTCTTCGATAGAATTTTTGTTGATAGTCTATTCACGGCGTTCCCAAACGGAGTATGAGGACGTCAAACAACAAATTGGCGCGAAAAGAAATCTCAGTTACGCAACCAAAGGCGATCGAACCAACAAGTTATTAATGTTGAATTTGTGACGTAGAATGACGTCATTTTATCCGGAGCGCGCACTTACTTTTTTTTGTAGATTCAAAAACTTTGAAGCCGCCACCTTCCCTCACCCCATTATAAATGCCGTGTATTGGACCCACCAAAAATAAAATCCAACGCAAAAAATTGACTTCCTTTGGGTTTAGTGTCCTGTGAGACTTTCATAAACGTCACGAAAATCCCTCTTTCAGCTTTAAAACTTGGCTATAATGCAAAAAAAGGGGAAAATCGCCGTCTAGTTGGACCCAAGATGCCCTAAGGCGCGTTTCGGAAATATTCTTTTTCTAAAACCGCCTTTTTTCTGTTCAAACTACATACACATTCTTGAGGAAATGGCTTCCCGAGGCGGCGTCGCTCTTCAGATCTTCTTCTTTGTCGACCCGAACGATCAGGAATCCTGTGTATTTCATCCCACGACGCAGTTCCAGGTCCTCAGCTGTATACCGGCTCAGGTACCTGGAAAATTAGGGATTTTTTCGAGTCGAAGGTTTATTCTACACAGGAAAAGTCCAAAGGAATTAAAAAATAAAGTCTAAAGCTCCTTTTTGAGTTCCTAAAGGTGTCAAAAGTTTCTCGGAATGTCCTTATTTCCGCCTTATTTTTTTACACTTCCTTAAAAGGCCCCTTTCAGAAAAAAGGTCTAGAAAAAAGGCGATTTTGAGGCCTTTTTTCCGAAAGTCCTTTTGAGACCTTTTGGACTTTGTCCGTGTAAGAATATCGACTTGTTTTTCACCCAACAAATTTTTTTTTCTGGTTTGATTCCAAGCTCTTTGGAACTTAAAATACCCAAAACATGAAATTAAAACCGTTTCTTTTTTCATTTTCTCTCTAATTTCTGCATTCAAAACATACAAATTTATGGCAAATTGATCTTTTTTTTTATTCTCGTTTTTTTACCAACTTTCAAGCTTTAGTTTAGTTAGAAACTAAAAAAATTAAAAATTTAATGATTTTTCTAATTTTAAGTACTCAGAAACCTTATTTAAAAACTTTCTGCAAAAAAAGGTTGAAATTTGAAATGTCAGCCCATATTTTAGATGATTTTAATGTTTCAAATAAGCCATATAAAATCATATATTTATTGCCAATTTAGTGTAGAAATTATACAATAAACGTTTAAAAATCTAGTTTTTTTCAATTATTCTTTCAACTACATATTTTTTTTGAGTCAATTTACAATCATTTTTTTCTTCAAAAACTTCTAGCTTTTTCTACTGAAAAATTATCCTATTTGACGATTTTTTTAAAGCGCTCAAAAATGACATCGAAATTTGAGAAACATTTATTTTTTTCTGTGAATTTCGCGCTTTTTTTCGCATTTTTTTCTGTTTCAAAAAAACCAAATAAGGAATAATTATTCGTTAAAAAAACACTCAATATGCCTAATTTCACAGTTAATTTCTCAGTTAAAAAAACATTTCTCTTCCAAAAATTATCTTTTTCCGTGATTTTTTTCGAGTTTTTCTCCTTATTTTTTTCTGATTTTAAGCACCCCAAAAATTCACCTTTTCATATTAAAAATGGGCACAATTTCACAGTTACCCACTACTTTTCAGATTTTCCCTTCAAAAAGTTTTTTTTTGCTGCAAAACTCACTGGACATTGCAGGGTCTGATATCGGGAATGGTTGCTCCATCGCCAATTACCGTATTCCCGGGATAGCCACCGTAACTTTCAGCAATATAGGCAAAATAACGGCGTTTTTCCGCCGCCGAACCGTGCATATTGTTGCTGAAGGCCTGGAAAAATGAGAAAATTGATATTTTTTCTTTTTTTGAATAACTAAAATCCTGAAAAAGTTGAATAATTTGATTTTTAAGGCTTCTCAAGAGCAAAAAAAAACAATTTTTCCTTGATTTTCGTTCAAAAAAAGTAAAATAAAAAGGAAAAACATTCCTAAAAAATTTCCTAATGTGATTAAAGCCAAAAAAACAAATTCAAGCTAATTTGCAGCCCTTAGAAAAGCCAGAGTGGCCCCTAGAGGTGTTAGGGAAAAACAGCCACTTTAGGGGACAGAAAAGTGCTTCCTAGAAAGCTAAAACGAGTATGGTCCTTATAAGAATTTAGAATCTGACTCCTAAGTGGTCCCTATAGTGATTTTTGAGGATTTTTTTTTCTGACCTGAAGGTCCTATAGTAGCCGCTAGCATGTTCCCCCTAGAGTGGTCACTTTTTAAAGCTTCAGTGCCCCCTATAGGGGTCCCTAGAGGGGAGCCTTCAATGGCGTCTAAGGTAACCCCTCTAGGGACCACTCTGGCGTTCTTAAGGACCGACTTTTAATGGAAATTCCTAAACAGAATATTGCAAAAATGATTCCAAAACTTTTAAATTTGGTTGAAAGCGGTAAAATGCTAGAAATGGCTCAATTTGGTTCAAAAATTTCCAATTTATATATATGAAAAATCGAACTTTCACGAAAGAATCCATGACGATCTCGCTGGGAGGCGGTAGAGTGTCCAGGGAGACGTTGGCCAGCAGGGGGACTATGGCGATGTAGAAACAGCTGGAAATTATGAATATTTAATTATTTTATAGAGTTTCCGGCCGATTTTTTTAAATTTTTTGCATACTGTACAAATTTTTCGGCTTGAAAAAAACGAAAAAAAGCAATCAAACCCAAAAAAAGTGAATTTGAAGCTCAAAATAAAAATTTTTTTATTAGTAAAACTTCCATTAAATGACGAAATTCGGAAAAATACGTAAATTCCGGAAAAAAATTCCCGAGAAATGAAGAAAGACATGAAGAAGAAGACGTAGATTTCAAGAAAAAAACTCGAGCTTTTTTTTAAAGAAAAAGTTAAAAAAAGACCAAATTAATTTCTGTTTGGTAATTATACTCTTCAACATACCTAAAAAAATCCTGAAAGTCGAAATTTTTTTTGGTTCAAGAAAAGGGCCTAATTCGATTCTTTTCGCGGGTTTCATTCAAATTTGAGGTGTCTTTTTTTGAAAAAAATCGGAATTTTTGCAAGTTGAGGCTTTCATGATCATTTTCTGGTACATCAATGAGTGATCTGGCTGATTTTTAAGAAACTCCCAGCCGAAAAGTATAATGACCTCCTTGTTAGGACTTGATATTTGAGGACCTTATATGATATCCGCACATTAAAATTTGACCTTCGCCTTTGATAGATCCAAAAATTATTTTTTAATTGTTTTCCTCCATGACTTTACGGCTACTTTGTCAGCTAAAAAGTTAGTTATAGGTAATTTTTAGTGTTTCTTCAACCTAACTAGTTCGGGCAAAGTCGGCATGGTGGATAATGTCCAGGGAGAGGCCGAAAAAAAGCCGCAAAGAGGCAGCAGAAAGGCCGCAAAAAGGACCGAAAAAAGGCCGCAAAAAGGCCGAAAAAGGCCGCAGAATGGCCGCAAAAGGGCCGCAAAAAGGTCGCAGAAAGGCCAAAAAAGGCAGCAGAAAGACCGCAAAAAGGACCGAAAAAAGGACCAAAAAAAGGCCGCAAAAAGGTCGCAGAAAGGCCAAAAAAGGTCACAGAAAGGCCAAAAAGGCCGCAGAAAAGCAGCAAAAAGGCCGAAAAAAAGACCGAAAAAAGGCAGCAAGAAGGGCCGAAAAAAGGCAGCAAAAAGGCCGCGAAAAGGTCGCAGAAGGGTCGAAAAAAGGCCGCAGAATGGCCACAAAAAGGCCGCAAAAGGGCCGCAAAAAGGTCGCAGAAAGGCCAAAAAGGCCGCAAAAAAGCAGCAAAAAGGTCGCGAAAAGGCAGCAAAAAAGGAAAATTTCTATGGACCCTTATCCACCTTCCGACTTTGCCTATGATTCCAAAACTGAATTTTCTATTTATTTCTCAGTTCAAAGTTCTAAAACTATAGGGATCTACCTGAGCCCTTCTCATTGCTTTTATTTAGGAATCTCTCTCTCTCTCTCTCAACCAATTTTACCTGATCGGCCCATTGGTATCATCGGGCGGGTTGTTGAACATCAAGGAGAACGTCGTCAGGTTCTCGGTCATCGTCGTCGCGGGCTCCTGGACGACGTCCGGCTGGGCGAAGTTCGTCACGCAGTTCTTCTTGAACACTGCCGGCAGAGATTTCCCGGCGTTGTTCTCCGCCCAAACCATCACCGAGTAGTTACGGTTGGGCTGGAAAATAAATACTTTGAATATTTTTCCCTTCATTTTAAAAATTGATTTTACTTCGCTCGTTGTTATTGGACACGAAATTTGAAGTTTCAAAAAGCAATTTTTGAGTTTTCTAATGAAAAAAATATCAGTAGAGGAATAATCAATCAAGTCTTTCCAACTAAAAAAAAAACTAAAAGACCCCTATAGGGACAACTCAAGCTTAAGGAACTCAGAAGTCACATACTAAGCCCCCATAGAGACCACTTGAACTTCTGCCCCTCTAGGGAGCACTTTGTTTGTCACCATATATGGGCTCTTTTCCCTTGAACCCTTTAGGAACCACTTGAGTTCCAGGGACTCAAGGGTCAAAACCTAAACCCTCAAAGGGCCACTTGCTTGAGTTTCTACACATCTCGAATTCTCACACCAAGTGGTCCCTAGAGGGGTCAGGGGCACTTTTTTTGTCCTCCATAGGGTTTGGTTTTCCCTTGACCCCTCTAAGGACCACTTGAGCTTCAGGGGCTCAAAAGTCAGATCCTAAACCCCTCAAGGGGCCACCTATATTTCTACACATCTCGAATTCTCACACCAAGTGGTCCCTAGAGGGGTCAGGGGCACTTTTTTTGTCCTCCATAGGGTTTGGTTTTCCCTTGACCCCTCCAAGGACCACTTGAGCTTCAGGGTCTCAAAAGTCAGATCCTAAACCCCTCAATGGGCCACCTATATTTCTAAACATCTCGAATTCTCACACCAAGTGGTCCCTAGAGGGGTCAGGGGCACTTTTTTTGTCCTCCATAGGGTTTGGTTTTCCCTTGACCCCTCTAAGGACCACTTGAGCTTCAGGGGTCTCAAAAGTCAGATCCTAAACCCCTCAAGGGGTCACCTATATTTCTACACATCTCGAATTCTCACACCAAGTGGTCCCTAGAGGGGTCAGAGAGTACTACTTTGTCTCCTCTAAAGGCTTTTTCTTTCTTAACCTCTCTAGGGATCACTTGAGCTTGGTCAGGGAGCCCTTTTTGTCCTCCATGGGATCTACTTTTCCCCTGGCCCTTCTAGGGACCACTTGAATTTCAGGGGCTCAAGGGCCAGACCCTGAATCCCTATAGGGGCCACCTGAACTTCTACACCTCCAGGGAGCACTATTTATCCCTTATAGGAGCTATTTTCCCCTGACCCTCTAGGGATCACTCTCTCTCGTTCTCATTTTACCTTCAAGGGGCCGAACTTGCAGGAGAAGAACTCCGTGGAGAAATCGATGGGATTGATTCCGGAGGTGGTGATCGAAGACTCGTCTCCGTTCCAGTTGGCACAACGTTTATCCGTGGTCATTGAGTCCGGAAAGTCGTCGGCGACTAGGGAACCGTCCGGCCGACCGCGACGCATCTCTCCGCGCACGCTCACCTTGAAAAGTCGTTATTTATAGTCAATGTTTCTCGACTTGAAAGGGGCGGGACGCGTAGCGTGTGCGTTCACGGTTCTTGGCGCGAGTTTAATTCAACCGCCATCGACTCTTTGAAAAGCCCGTTTTTCGCTCTTTTCGTTCCTTTTTCAATTATTTATTGATTATGTTCAAAAATAGTAGAAAACATTGAAAAATAGCGGCTGTCGAGCTTTTTAATTTGTCGGCGGCGATTGAATTGAACTGGCGCCAAGAACCGCGTACGCACACGCTACGCGTCCCACCTCCCTCACCTTTTAAGTCGGGAAACATTGACTATATGAGTCTGATGTTTCACGAGGGGTTTAAAAACAGAAATATTTTCTCGCAGACGATGGATCCTGACCAAAAAAAGAAACATTTTACTTTTAAATTATCAGAAAATTCATGAAAATACTATTCGCAGTAAAAGATCCTGAAACTGCAAAAATTCCTGATTTTCGCCAGAATTCACCTCAAAACGGGAGAAAACTTTCAAATATGAGCCATTTTTCTGAGTTTTACCCTTTTTCTCGGAAACTAAGAAATTTTAAAGGTTGATACTTTCCGTATCTTTATCTGGTACATCAGGAAATCGATCAGGATTGTTCTGATCAATTTTCAAAAAATTCCCAACCTTAAAAATATAATGATCTTTCTTATAGAAAAACAGAGCGAATATTTTTTTCAAAAATTTTTTTCTGGAACCTGAATAAAAAATTTTAAAAAATTCGGAAAAACCTATAGAAAAACAAAAATCAAGTTAAAAACTGCAAAAATCAATAGGAAGTTGGACTAATTGATATATCTTTTTTCTATAGAGGCTCTAAAAATAACACTGACTCACTGAAATAATTCAAGTCCTAGTCACATTTTTTTAGCCAAAAAAAACCTTAACTTTTGTCGCAAAAAATTTTTGCCGTTTTTTGAATGTTCTCAAAGCGAAAGCAAGATGAACAACTGTGGTTACGGTACCTTGCGCTTTGCTTATTTTTAAATATTGAATCGGTTAATACGCAAAAATGAAACTGACATAACTTAATATCTCACTCATTTCAAAAAGCTGCGAAACTGTAAAGTGTAGAAATGTAGAATAAGGAAGATTACGTGCGTAAAAATTCGAATTTCTTCTATTTTTTCTTAGTTTTCCATTTTGCAAACTCACAAAGTACTTAATGATCCTTCCATTCGTCTCCGCCGGGCTTTTCCATTCGACTTCACAAATCAAAGAAGATCCCGAGTTCAGTAACCGGACGTCTTCTTCTTTTGGGGCATGGGGTCCTGAAAATCAATGAATAAAATATAGATGCGTTTTTTTTGACGTATTTCGGACTGTGAGAAAAACTTTCATCTTCCAAAAAGGCCTTGTAAAAAGCTTGAACGACCTCAAAAAAGGCCTTAAAAAGAAGAGCCTAAAGCTCCTTTTTGAGTTCCCAAAAATGTGTCAAAAGTTTTTTGAAATCTCCTTTTTTTTATCTTCTTTTACACCCCTCTTCAAAAGGTCCTTTTCAAAAAAAGGTCTCGAAAAAAAAGGCGCCCGGCCTTTAAAAGCCTTCCCCCCCCCCCCTCAAAAGTCCTTTTTGAGACCTTTCGGACTTGGCCCGTGGTATTGTTGGCATTTGAACTTCAAAAATAGTGAAATTTTGGTTAAGTCAAATTTATTGCTTCAACCCCTTCAAGTACCACCTCTACGCGGTGATGGGGAGGCAACGCCATTTATGGCGGCTAACGGTACACCGGTCACGCAATTCGGCTTGCTTCTGCTAACAGAATGGGCGGTCTTTTTTAGCCCTGGCAAGGCAAAAAGGATAATCAGACCACAATTATGCTATAACACGTTCAACACCACGGATGGATTTTTTTCGCAAGAATACCAGTCAACCAGGACGACAACATTGGATGACCGATTGCATAAGACCTCCTGGAAAACGTGTGGTCCACGCTTCGATCAATAAAAGGCACTAAAAGGCAATAAAAGGCCGAAAGCGAAGATGGACCATCTAAGTATCTAAGTAAGTAAGTAAGTATTGCTTCAAATAGAATCGTTGAAAAAATTAAAAGCCCATTTTCTCGTTTAAATCCCATGGGAATAAAAATACAAGTTATTTAGGCCAATTTTAGAATCAAATTGGCATGTGAAAGCTTCTTTTTTTCCAACTTTCCGAATTTTTCAACTATCATTTCCGAGTTTCCTTCTACACTTTATATTCCACTTCTAGTTAATCAATCTATTTTTTTTAATCCATTTAATTTTTTTAAAATTTTTTTTCGTTTTTTTTTTTGTTGAAAGCACGAAAGACAGTTTTTTTCTATTGCTTTTTAAAGTTCCATTTCTATTATTTAAAAAAATCCCTAGAACTGTTTAAATAAAGTTCAAAAATTGAAACGAACGTTTCTGCTCGGTGGTGAAATGTTCGGTGAACTCGAAAGGCGTCGTTCCGTCCTTGCCGGACACGAAAAGCGTGTACGGCGTGGCGGCCCGCAGACTCTCGATCAGGACCGGAGAAGTCGCGTTTTCCTTCCGGAAAACCTCCTGGCCACGGTTGTCCGTTCGTCGGAGCAATCTGGAAGGTTCTTCATGAGGAAGAAAATATCAGAAAAAAGAGCAAAAAAGTCAAAAATTGAATCAAAAAATGTTAGGAACAAAGGAAAACTTGAAACCGAACCAAACAGCACCACATTTTCTCAGAACGGAACAAAAAAAAACTCAAAAAAGCGGCGAAATTTTAAAATCGTTTCAGGCAACGAATACACTGAAACTCAAAAACTCCTTGAAAAGCTAAATTTATTTTTTAACTTTTTTTTTTCAATTTTAGTGGATCATTGTTTTTTTTTAGACAATTTGGCAAAATTTCTAGTGGCTACTATAGAGGCTCACCAAAGAATACTCGGAGAGGACACTAAAGTGGCCACTAAACCCACCTCTATAGTGGCCACTATTTTCCGTTTTATTTTTGATCACTATAAAACAAGCAGATTGGACCAGTTATGTTGATCCGTTGACCCCTAAAGTGGCCACTAAACTTGAAAAAAGCGGTAAAATTTGGAAAATATTGGGCAATCAGTCTGGGAAAATATTTTTTCAATACTCTGAGCCCTTTCAAAAATGCTCGAAAAAGTTTTAAAATAATAATTTTTTTCAAGAATATTTTATTTTCTCTTATGAGTGAATTATTTATGATATTGAGTAATTTCTGAACAAGGGGACTTCAGTATTTTGAGTAAACTATGAGAAAAAAATGCCCATATTTCCAAAAATTGTTCAAAAAAATGTTCACACTTGAGCCTTGAAACTACCAAAAAAATAAATGAATTAAAAACCTCCTGAATTTAGGTTTTCTCAAACTCTAGTAGCCTTTTAAAAAAAGGAAAACTCTGTGGAAAAACTTCAAAAATTTGATCTATTTTTTTATAACCATTTTTTTCTGATTGAAGGCACTACGGATTTTAATAAAAATCCTCAAAAAAATACGGGAAACTTCTAATTGTACAAAAACGACCTCATTTGAGCCCTAAAACCGTTGAAAAAAATCCAACTAAATTTGTAAATTTATCTGAATTTCCCGTTTTTCCTCGAACTCTAGTAGCTTCGGAAAAAAACGGAAAGCTCTTGAAAAAAATCTTTTAAAAAAATTCTATCGATCGGAATTTTTTTAGGATTTAGAACAAAATAAAAATTTTTCATTTTCTTTTCAGAATTTTACTCGCTCGACGAATTCTGTTTCAAATTCTCAAAACCTATAAATTCAAAAAAATCCTCTACTCATTGAAATTTTTCTCTCCAATCCCTCCAACTTCAGAAAAATAAGAAAAAGGACAAAGAAAACCGCCAAAAACAGGTGACTCGGTTCATTTGACAAGTGGGGTTCATTAATCATTTTGCCGGTCCAAATTCCAACCACAGCGAAATAAAATCCGTCGGCTTTTTTTTTGCACTGGGAATTTGTCCCATGTGATAGACATTCCGACCGGAACGAGAATACGCGTCAAAAACGGGAAAAAAAAGGTTGAAAATGATTGATAATCCTTGATTTTCATCCAAGTGTAACTGAGAACTGTGTAGTTTGATCGAAAACTATTTTTGAAGTTTTTAAAGGCGCAGGAGCACTAAAAAAAAAACTGCTCTTCGCTTCGGGACCTTTGTGAAATTTGTCTAAAATTTTTAAAAATCTCAGCGAGGCCTTTTTTTGTTGTTGGAAGACAACACCAATTGTTAAAAAAAGTCATTTTTTTCTCGAAAAAAATTTTTTTTTGAAAAATATATTTAATATATTTATTTTTTTCCAGTCGATTCAGATCAAAAAGTCGTTCTTTAATTTTATTAGGATCAAAGTCAAAAAAACTAAAAAAATTAAAATTTGGCTGTTCTTTTCGAAATCCTAGATAGAATATTGTTAGGCTTTCTGATATTAAATATGGTAATCAAAATTTTCATATTGTCTTTAAATAAAAAACATTTTATTGCCACTTATCCATTTAAGAAAATTTTGACAAAACGAGACAAAAAAGTTGAAAATGAGAACCTAATTTTATCCACAGAAACTTTATTTCTTTTCTTCAAAAATCGACTGTTTCATCCAATTATTTTTTCATTTAATTGAAAAAAAAAAGTTTGAAAACTGTCCTCATCCTACTTCCCTTTATCGAACTGTCTTTTTGTATCAATTTATTTTTGAATTGCGCATTTTCAAAATTATCATTGATTGATGTTTTACAGTAAATGGACAATTATCATTAACAAGGAAGGTAATTTAACTTTTTGGTTAAATCCTTATAGATCAGATGAAGATTCTGCATGACCTCCTTTCTAAGATAAACTTCCTCTCGATTTTGTGATCTTGTTTTCTTTGCACGATTTGCCCTCGAGTTGCACTTGTCGATCCGAAAAGGGTCATTTCAAATTGTCACTGGGCAAAGAAAACGATAAATCACTTCCGCACGTGATAAGGATCTTTGATATTGGACGAGAAAGAGAAAAAGACGGTTTTTGTTCTGTGAACTTCTTTCGGATCATATTCTCTACGTCCAACTATTCGAAAAAAACTAAAGAAACTAAAAAATGAACATAAAGAAACCGAAAAGTCAAATAATCCATGCAATTGAAAAAAAAAAGAAACCAAAAAAAAAAAACCAAAAATAGAGGTGTGAAAAAATAGCCGCGAAAAAGTTGATCAAATCGCGCTCCACGGCTAATTTCATTTTTCGATCTTTCTTTTGCCTTCTGTCATTGAAAAATGTGAAAATTTTCACATTCTTAATAATTTCTGCTTATGTAATTTTGTAATTAGCCATGAAGCACAAAAAAATAAAAATTTTTGAGCCTCTTTTTTTGAGACTATTCATAATATGCGCTCCATTGCTAAAAATCAAATTTCTCGATATTTTTCAAGAAAATGCCGGGAAGAGGTTCAAAATTTAGCCATGGGGCGCAGAATGCTCAATTTTCGAGGCTATTAATTCACACGTCCAAAAAAATAATAAATTTCACGATTTTTCTTACTCTTTTCCAGAGGCCATCTTGGCATTGACGCCTCGCAGCAAACGTCGTCGGTTACTGTACATTTAATTATTTATTATTAATCGAATCTAACTGTTTCGAAGAATATTAAACAACAAAAAGAGGGTAAAACTATCAAAAAACGGAAATTCTGAAAAATTTGGTCGAAAAATTCGAAAAATGATTTTTTTCAATGGTTCAAACGTATGTGAAAACAACTATTTTCTGAATTATTTTTTGAAAAATTTTGAAAATGACCATTTTTATAGGGTTCCAGGGTTAAATAGCGTTAAGCGGTTGGTAAAATGATTAGTTAACAGAGGTTAGAAGGCATCTATATTATCTAGTCCGAAAAAACTTGTGAATTTCAACATCGGGAATAATTTTTACACATAGAAAGTAGATGCTACCATAAGCACGTATTTTGGTTTTTTTTTTTTGAGGAGTACTGTAAGTAGAAATCCGCATTTGACTTTTGCGCGTGTTTCCACATTCTGTCTTGATATTAAACAAAAAAGAGAGAAAAAAATTTGAAAATGAAGCGAAAAAAATGGAGATGATATCACAAAAAGTGTGAACGCACGCGCACACGCCAAATACGGACTTTCGCATACCATAACCATAAGGAAAAAAAACTCGCTTTTATTGTAGCAGCGAAAAATGTCACATTTTTGTATTTTCACATGAGAAATAATGAATATACGGTGACGATCGTGTTTGAATTTCTTGATTTGATGATTTTTTTTATTGAGAATTAAAACTATTGGGCGGTTCCCCGAGGGTTTAATGTCTCGCACAGTTGATGATACGACCAAATCTCATGTCCGCAAATTTTGAGTTATGTACGCAGATCTAAAGTCCCATAATCTTGGAGACCAAAATCTTGGAAAACAAAAACCTTCCCTTTTAGTCTTTATTGCACTTTATCTACTTATATTCTCTTGTTTGGATCACCGAACACAATTTCTGATAAAATCTATTTGCAAAAGCGTTGATTTTTGCTTTCCAAGATTTTGCTTTCCAAGATTTTGCTTTCCAAGATTATGGGACTTTTTAGATCTGCGTACACAAGATTACGGTCCTCAAAACTTGAAGAACTTGAGATTTTGTCGTAACATTGGATCATAAACTAGAAATGAAGGAAACATCAAAATTTTAAAAACTTTTTGAAACAGAAAAGCTTTAAAAAGAGTGTGATTCACTCTGCCAACCCAAAGAATGCGTAGAAAGAGTAGAAAAAAGTTCTTTGAAATTTGCAGGTCATAAAATTCCAGGGTGAAATACGTTACAAAAAAAATATCTTCAAAAAATATTGGTCACGTCTTGAGTGAAGGTCAATGAAAAGCAAAAAAAGGAAAAAAATAGCTGGAAAATCAGTAGGAAATCCATTTGTAACTCACAATTTTTTGAATTTTGCAGCTTAAATTCAAAAATTCTAATCAAGTTCTTATGAAGGATTAAAAAACTGATACGAATTTCAATACAAAATCAAAAAAAGGGCAAAAACCGACCGCAAATCGATCGGAATCAGAGATCCTTCTTCCGAATCCCACATAACCGTCGCCGTTTTCTCCGTCTTGTTCACCCGAAGATTGTGAATCATCCGAGGAGCTGAAAAAGTTCCTTTCTTTTTTGAAAAAAACACTAAAAATAACTGCGAGAAAAAAGCGATATCGAGTTGACGACATCGCGAAAGTTCTGCTTGCTAGCCGCGCCGATCTCGACATTTTTTGTCGTGATCTCGATTTTTTGAGTGCGATGGATATGCGATGTCGTGCCAAGAAAAATGCGAGCCTGCCGCGGTGACACTGCAGTACATTAGCGACATCGCGAAATCTCTCAACGCGGTATCGCGTTTTTTTTCGATTTTTTCGAGTGCGATAGAAAAAAAGGCGATGTCGCGCCAAGAAAAATGCGAGTCTCGCGCGGCGACACTGCAGTACATTAGCGACATCGCGAGAAAAAAAACGCGATATCGCTCTTTGAAAATTTTTTTAAGCGCGACCAAGAAAAATATGGAATGTACCGCCTCCGACAATATCGCTTTTCTCTTGCACCGGCAGTTATTTTTAAAGGAAAAAAAAAGTTACAACGGGTTTACAAAGGGTTCAGGCAGGGGGAAAAAGGTTAAGGAGGGGAAAAAAAAACAAGGAAAATGTGAGAAAATAAGGGGGAAAATGGGAATAAAAGTGAATATTTTAAATTTCTAGTAGCCCTAAATAACACTGGAAACTGCCTCGGGGCTTTCAAAAATTCGCTCTTTCAGAAATTTCAAAGTTCTGAAAGTCATATCAAGTTTTCAAAGGGTCCAAAGCGAGTTTTCAAAGAAAAAAAAAACAAAAAACAAATTTTTATGGAAAAAAACTTTAACGTCATCAAAATTTTTTAAAATAAATAAATTTTCAAGTACTCCAGGGCTTCATACCGATTAATTCGAGTTCTCAACTTTCATTTAATTTTTTTTTCAATTTTAAATTTCAAGACCACAACCACAAGACATTCAAAAACCACGGATTACATGCATCGAGGGGATTTTTAAGTGGTAGAAAATCCCAAAATGATTTTAAAAACTAGGAAAAGCCTTCAAAAAAGAGTTTTACGATATCATTTGGATTTTTTTCAGAGTGCAAAATAACTCCCAAGCTTTTTTTTTTTCGTAAAAATCAATTTTTTCGCTTGAACGCTCTGCTTTCTCTGCTCCCTCTACTCTCTCATGTTTCCGTGCTATTTTCACGTCTAATAGTGAGAGAAAAGAGAGCGCAGACAGGTCAGACTGCTTTTTCCGGAAAATGCCTGGGAAATGGCATTTTTCCTTGTCCTTGCGAAAAAATGGGAATTTTCGTCCTTTTTCAGCATTGTCTTTACATTTTTGTGATCTTCTACCACTAAAAAAGTTCAATATTTTTTTTTGGCTTGGAAATTCCTGGAAATTGGCCAGAGAACGCTTGAAATAATGGTCCAAAAAAGCACAAACTGCTCATTCTTTTTATTTTTTAAGAAAAAAACCTTAAAATCCGTTACGTCATTGTCTTGTCTTTGAAAGCTTAATTCTCCCAAAAAAAATTTTTTTTTTGCAATTTGGGACTTTCAGGAGCTTTCCCTAGTTCATCAAGAAGCGTTCTGGCCAATTTTCAGAAAAATTCCCAACCGCAAAAAAAAATAAATAAAACCCTTGTGAATATCAAATTTTCAACGAGGTTCGGGCCATGCTGAGGACTCACGCGGCGCTTGGGCACTTGGGCCTTGTTGGTGGAGTTTTTTCGGACGCTTGTACCACGAAGCGTGGGAGCGTTTCTCATGTTCTGGACAAACAAAAATGGTTGATGGGACAGGAAAAAAAAAGTGATAAAAAGAAAAAAGTGGAAATTTTTTGTGTAACGAATGGCTCCAGTTACTCGTCATTTCGCTGTTTGTAATTATTTTGGTCGCATTTGGAATGGCTCAAGGCGTTGCGGTTAAATACAAAAACTTCAAAAACTGCCCTGAAACTTGAAAAAAATTTCTGATTATTTTGGTCGCATTTGGAATGACTCAAGGGGTTCCGGAAGAATCTAAGAATTCAAAATCTTCCCTAAAAATTTTATCAAAGTTTTTTTCTGATTTTTTTGGCCGCATTTGGAATGACTCAAGGCGTTGCGGGTGAATAAAAAAAGGCTCAAAAAAATCGTCCTAAAACTTTTAAAAAAATTTCTGATTATTTTGGTCGCATTTGGAATGGCTCAAGACGTTGCGGTTGGAAATAAAAGCAATAAAAATGCTCTGAAACTCAAAAAAACAAATCTGATCATTTTGACCGCATTTGGAATGACCCAAGGCCCAAAATTTTCCGGTTTTTTTGCCGCTTTTTTTCCCAACTTTTTCAGACAGATTGAAAAAAAAAATTAATTCTAAGTTCATCTTGAACTTCCACTGAGAAAAATCTCAAAAGAGGCAACTTTTTAAACCATTCCCGATTTTCAACAATGAACAGTAGGCGTGTGAGATCATTTGGGGAACGATGGAAGAATACGTGAACATTTAAAAAAGGAAGATGAAACAGAGAAGTGAGGATTAGGTGCAAGAAATCGTCATTTTTTTTTTTTGAAATTGACATTTTTCGGTTTTTTTTTTCTCGGAAATTACCATTCAAAAAAACCGATTATAACGTGAGAAATCTGAGAAAAGTTGAGAAAAAAATTCGCTAATTATGAAAAATAATTACTACTACCTACCAAAATTTCGACTCAAAATAAGAAGAAAAAACCGCAAAACTCTGGAAATTACTTTAAATCCAGACTATGTATAAATTGCAAGTATACAAGGAAATACATACAAAAACCCGGAAAATAACATTGAAAAAATCCTCGGAATTAGCCAAAATATGTCATTTCCAGACTTTAAGACCTAGGGAAAAGAACAAAATTCGATTCTAGACCATTTTATTCAAAAAATCAAACCTTTGACTTCAAAATCAATGGTATAATTGGCCGAAATGACGGGAGAGCTGCTGGACACGAGACACATGTAGGAGCCGCTGTCCGAGGGCTGCGCGTTCTTGATTTCCAGCTCCCAACAGGACATCCGTTCGTCGTGTTTCCGGGTCACCTTGAAGTGATAAGCAAAATTGTCATCCATAAAAAATATTCCTATAGTATTTCTCAAAAATCTCTCCAAGGCAGGGTAGTTTTTTTAAGATCTCGAGGTGAATTCCTAAAGATCGTTTTTTTCATCCCCCGGGTTGAAATTCGCTGAAACTTTGCTCAAGTGTACTTTAGGACCTCCTGATTCAAGAACAAAAAAAAAATTGCAATAAATCCTATTTCCGAATTATGAAGCTTTAAAGTCCGCAAAAAACGCAAATGATGACAACAAAGCTCTGTTTTGGTTTTTCGATTTTTCGATTTCGCGGGACCAACCAAATCCATTATTTTTCGAGACGAAAGGGCCGATTTTGAGGTTCAAAACGAAATTTTTCTTGAAAAATTCCCCAAAGTACAAAATGTATAACTCATTCTGAAAAAAGCTTTGAATCACTTTTAAATAAAAGTAAAATTAAGGGATATTGCCGCGATTCTGAAAAATTCTTTGGGTTTCTTAAATATGAGGTAAAATCGATAAAAAAAAAATATTCCATATCAAGTGGAGAATGAAAATAGTTCTCCAAAAAATCGATACAAATGTTCAAAAATCATAAAGCCATAGTAAACGCTGTGTATATGTTATAAACTTAACAAAAGCCTTTTCTGAAACAGGAAAATGATGAAAAAGCTCATGAATTTATTTTTACTCACGACTTTCCGCTACACGAATCCAAATTATTCAAAATAAATACCCCTCGAAACGGATGATTGGTCGCTTCGCGCATCAGTGTCGTGTTTTGGATGAAGAAAACCTGAAGGAACAAAAAAATTAGAAGAAATGAGGACTTAGAAGAAATTCAACCAAAAATGGTGGGTTCAAAAAAATTTTGCGCAAAATCTTGAGCGACCTAAAAAAATTCAAAAAAACGGCCTAAGGCTCCCCTCTAGGGGCCTCCTTATTTTCCACTTAGAGGGACATTAAAGCTTGCCAAAGTGGTCACTCTAGGGTAGCGGTCAAAACGTTTATCTGACTCAAAAACAAAAATTCCCTAAAGGGACCACTTGCGCTTTAAGGGCTTGCAAAAGAGACCATGAGCCCCTATAGGGACCACTTGAAATTTAACCCTAGAGGGAGCACAATTTGTCCCCCACATAGACGGTTTTCTCAACCTCTCTAGGGGCCACTTTATCTCCCACTTAGATGACATTAAAGCTCGCCAAAGTGGCCACTCTAAGGGAGCGTGTCTGAACGAAACATTAAAAAATCACTGTAAGGACCACTTAAGTTCCATTGACTTAGAAAACAGACGTAAACCCCTGTGGGGACCACCTAAACTTCACCCCCTATGGAGCACTTTTTGTCTTCTAAAAAAAGCTATTTTCTTCCTCAACCCCTCTAGTGACCCCTCAGCGTTCCTGAGAATAGAAAAAGGCAAAAACAATGAAAAAATTTAGCGAAAAAGCCCATTTTTTTCAGTTTTCAAACGAAAAAAGGCGAAATTTATTAATAAATTATCAAAAAATCCTCATTTTTTCCACTTCAAACTCAAGAAAAGGCAAAAAACCCCAGCGGCGTCGACGAATCCTTCCGGATCAACGTTGATACAGCAATACATGGTGACGTCCGTCCCTTTGTAGACTTTTTCCGACGGATGGACTCGGCCAATCACTTCCAGATCACCTAAAAATTCAGAAAAAGCTCAAAAATTGCATGAAAATGATGAAAAATTTTGCAAAAACATAGGAAAATATTCGAAAAAATTTTCTAACGCTTCCAGGATACCTAAAAATCCATAGAAAGCTCAAAAAGTGGATTAAAATGATGAAAATTCTTGCGAAAACTGAGGGAAACGTAATTAAAGAAATTTCCTAACACTTCCAGGATATTTAAAAAAATCAGAAAGCTTAAAAAAACGTATAAAAAAATCATAAAAAAACTTCTTAGAAAAAAAAAAAAATGATTGAAAAAAATTCCACCCCTTCCAGATCATTTAAAAATTTATGAAAAGCTTTACAAGTACAAGAAATGATTAAAAACGCTGAAAAAAGTCAAAAAATAATCATTTTCGGCTTTTTTTTTGTGTTCATTTTGTTACAAAAAACCTCTGAATTTCACGATAATAATTCGAAAAAAAAAGAATTGAAATATATAGCTTTACGAAAAATCTTTAACTTGTCTTTGGGTCCAATTTTGCTCACCTACTTTCAAAAAAATTCAAAGAAAGCTCAAATTTTCACGTTCTTCAACCTCATCGGCCTCAAAAACAATTTTTTCCTTTGAAAAAACGCTTTTCTTTGTTACATTTTAGAAGTTTTGGCATCGTTATAATTTCTTCTAAGCCTTCCAACTCCAAAAATAAATCTCAAAAACCAACGTTTATCGCATTTCACAGGTGGAATCGTCGTATTAAGTCGAAGAGGCAAAGAATCTGGTCCGATTCGGATTTGGTCGAACATCGGCGGACACACGCAAAGGCCCTGGATTTCAATAGATTACTTAAACTTCGAAGGATTATTCAATTATATTTTCAAACCAATTGAACTCATTTGCTGAAACGGAAAAGTCATCTTTCCGGCAACTCTTTCTTCCCTAATAATTAGAAATCCCCCCTTGTCCTCGGCTCTCTCAGTGGTCTATAAACAAATAGTTTTCCCCTCAAAATTCGAACCCCCCTTCCCGATTTTCTCAAGCCTTTACTAACCAAGGTTTTTTTCCCTAATGATTCAAACCCCCCCTCGGTTCTCTCAGGCTTCTAAAAAAACAAGCATTCAACCCTATTTTTCCCTAATAATTCTACTTCCCCCTCTCGATTTTTTTCAAGCCACTAACCAAGATTTTTCCACGAATAATTAGAAATTAAAAAAATTCCCTCCCTGCCCCCTCAGTTCTCGCAAGCTTCTATGAACCAACATTTAACCCTATTTTCCCTCAAAATTGAAAAACCCCCCCTCTCGATTTTATAAAGCCTTCACTAACCAAGGTTTTTCCCCTAATAATTCAAAAATTACCCCCCGCCCCCTCGGTTCTCTCAGGCTTCTATAAACCAAAAATTTATCCCTATTTTCCCTCAAACATTAACCCCCTCTTAATTCTCTAAGGCTTCTATATCAAATCCAAAATTTTTCCAATTTTTCACATCAAAAAGCCCCCCCTTCTCAAGTCCTCTCGGGCCAGACACCGATCTCATTGGAAAAAGTGTCAAAGTGAAAAGAAAAATCCACTGAAATCCGTGAATTGCCCGAATCGCTCAGACGACGTGTCAATCAACCTCCCACGCCATCACCTCGAATCACGTCGCCAATTTTAAAGCGGCTACTTTTTTTTTTGGTGTCCCTTTAATGACGACGACGGGAACAATCCGAAATCACGTGTTTATTTTCAAATTTGGACTCTTCAGCAAGTCACGTCGGGGGGCAGAGTACGAAAAAGTTCGATTTTAGATTTTTGGCTATATAAAAAATGGTGAAAAGGTCTTCTGGATATTCTTCGGTGATTTCATCAGTTTTTATCAATGGAGCACGAATAGCCGCCGTAAATCGCCTTGAATCCTTTTTTTATCCAACTTCAAACTCAAGGGGGGCGGTCCCGTACAAAAATACTCGGATCATGATTTTTTTCAACTTTTAAACAGCTCAAAATGTTAGTATACAGCTTCCAAAGACCCTCTTCCCGTAGAATTTTAATTTTTTATCTATGGAGCACAAATCGGCGCCGTAAAATCGCCAATAACAAATTTATTTCATAAATTTGAAGAAGAACAGAAAAATTTTGATTTTCGAACTTTGAAATAATGCAAAAGCTGGAAATCTGATCCTCTGGACCTTGCTTTTTTTAGAAATTTTGCAAAGATTTTGGTGTATTTTCTTCATTTTATCAATGGAGCACACTTTCTCCATTTAAAATCGCCAAAAATCACGAATAATTTGATTTATTCATGGATAGCTCTTGTTTTGACCTTTTTCTCCATAAAAAAAGATAATTTATCGTTGGAGCGCACTTCGCCTATAAGAAATCGCCTGAGGACTTCCGGCATCCGATCAACTTCAAAACTACTTCAAATCCTAGCCACTCATGAATCGAAAACCCTCAAAAGAATCCATTTTTCATATTTCCGAGTGTTCCCTAATTCTCATCCCTTCATCATCCAATCAGCTGCTTCGCGATGTTTGAACAAATGAGAACGCTTTTTTCTCCGTCCCGAATGACCCAATTGGCGTCGAGCCAGCAAAAATCGACCAATCAACTTCATAGATCAAATTCCTGGGGAAGCAGGTTTTTCCGTACTTTGCATGGCTCGTAAATATTGTTATGCAGAGGGTGACCGGTTGAGAAATTTGATATTTTCTTTAAAATCAGGGTATATCTTCGATCAAAATAATCACTGATTTTTCCGAAGCCATTTTTTAGAAAGCTATTGTGCTCCACTGATAAATTTATTAAAATATCGATTAGCTGACTTTCCCCTAGACGTTTCCACCTTCAAAGAGCACGAAAAAAAGGTAACCAGAAATTGCCCGCCAGTTCAAATAAAATCAAATACACGGTTGATAATAAGATATCAATTTTTGTATCAATAATTTTTTCTTCCATTTCAAAGCGTTTTTGTGAGAATAGTGTGCTCCATCGCTAATTTCAGTATGATTACTGTATTATACGCAGAAAATGCTTCTCTTCAGTCGACCTATTCATGGATTTTTCGAAGCCATTTCCAAGGCAGCTATTGTGCTCCATTGATAACTTTTCTCAGAACTTTCCCCCGATGTTCCCACCTTCAAAGAGCACGAAAAAGGTAACCAGAAACTGCCCGCCAGTTCAAATAAAGTCCACCGACGGCTGATAACACGATATCAGTGTCGGGGTTTGTCGTAACAGTGGTTTTTTGCCCACTCTTTTTTTGGTTCGTCTTCGGTTTGATTCTTCTCTTCTCTATTGACATAAGCGGGCGGCGAAGAAGACGTTGTGATGCGAAATGACCGCATCGTACAGGTTTCCCGTCTATTGAACGTCGGAAAAAGACCAATTTTTGTTGGTTTTGAGACGAGAAGAATCTTTTCTTCGATTCGAAAGGTTTGAAAAATTTCGAATCTCGATAGCGGCCGAGGACAAAGAACTGCCTTGTCGATTCTCACAGCAAAGTGATGTTTAAAAAGTCTAGACCCTTTGAACTTTCAAAATTAACCTTTCTATCCTTACTATTAGATCCCTAAAGGGATAAAGGGACCCTATAACCCTAAAAAAAAAATGCCTCACCCCTCCCTAAAGTTAGCGAAGATCTCAGAAAGTCTTAAACACACTGGAACTCAAAAACTTTGGCCCAAATTATAATCATATCACTAGAACGCCTTTAGAACCGCTCGCATCCACAGAATTCGAATTTTCAAAACCAATTAGCTCCCACAACATTAAAGATTACTATTCCAGTCTGAGTTAAAGTTATAGTCTACCCATAAAATTTCAAAAAAAAAAAATTACCAGAACGCTTCAACTCGAGCTAGATCAAAAATACCCTACATTTTATCCGTAGAGCGCCAAAATCTCACCAAAAATCGCCTAAAGGTCTCCTTTCTAGAGTCTCGAATCTCGTTATTGAATAGTTAACATTTAAACTTATCTATGAAATTTCAAGAAAAAAACCCTTCAATTTGATCCAAATCAAAAAATCACTCATTTTATCCGTAGAGCACCCAAGCCCCACCAAAAAACGCCCACAACCCATTCCTAGCCTCCTCGCGATTCCCAACCTCATATCCAATCCAAAAATACGGAACACAATGAAAGAAAATAGACTTTTATCAACAGAGCGAAGAATCCCACCAAAAATCGCTCCTTATCCGTAGAGCGTCAAAGTTCCACCGAAAATCGCCCAAACCATTCGTGAGCTTTTAAAATTCGCGATTCAACAGTTTGAAGCTACAAAATATTCCTAGAAAAACACTTTCAACACGATACATGAATCTTTATCATCGTTATCCGTAGAGCGCAAAATACTACCGGAAATCGCCGCCAACCCATTCCTAGCCTCCTCGCAATTCCCAACCTCATATCCTATCCAGAAATTAGAAACCGAACAAAAAAGAAAGTTTTGATTATCATTATCTATAGAGCGCAAAATCCCACCAAAAATGGCCCAAATTTCATTCCTAGACTCTCGAATGAAATCTAACGATCCTCCACCTCAATCCTACAAAAAAGTGGTCTTTTTATCCATAGAGCGCCAATATCCCTCCAAAAATCGCCCTTAACCCATTCCTAGCCTCCTCGCGATTCCCAACCTCATATCCTATCCAGAAATTAGAAACCGAACAAAAAAGAAAGTTTTGATCATCATTATCTATAGAGCGCAAAATCCCACCGAAAATCGCCCAAGACTCATTCCTAGACTCTCGCATCGAATCTAACGATTCTCCACCTCAACTCTACAAAAAATTAAACATTTTATCCGTAGAGCGCCAATATCCCTCCAAAAATCGCTCTTAACCCATTCCTTGCCTCCTGGCGATTCCCAATCTCATACTTTATCCAAAAAAAACTTAACTAAACAAAAAAGTTTAACTTTTTATCCGTAGAGCGTCAATATCCCTCCAAAAATCGCCGTCAACCCATTCCTAGCCTCCTCGCGATTCCCAACCTCATATCTAATCCCAAAACAGACCCCAATTACGCAACGGAATCACGTTGTTGTTCCTTGATTGGAGAAGGGAAAAATTTGACGAGACCGGAAACGCGAGCGCCAAAATATCGTTCCTTCCAATCTTCTTCTTCTCTTGTGCGGCTGATAACCCACTGATAACCCCACGACACGTTTTACGGTAATTCCTCCCTTTCCGAAAGCTGTTCCATCAATTTCTCACAAACATTTTGCACTACGCTGCAGCGGCCAATATCGCTCTTTTGACTTCTTTTTTTTTTTGGTTGCAGGGGAGAAAGATAAAAAAGCGGAAGTGGGGAAAAAGACAAGGTTATCTTTTTAGAAATGGAAATAATTCAGAAAAAATCCTATAGTTTGTTCCAAATTTGATTGATTTTCAAGATCTGATCGAGACGAAATAGTGTGTAAAAATGAGAGAGTAACATTGGGGGGAATAAAAATTAAAAAGGCCTAAATTTCTAATTTAAAGATTAATTACAATAACTTGACCTAAAGGCTCAAAAAAATTTTTTTTTCGAAAAAAAGGTTCTGACACGAAAAAGGCCGTAATGATAGTATGAAAAAAATAGGGGGAGAGTCAATGAAAATTTAAAAAAGGCCCAAAGTTGTAATCTAAAGATGCATTTCAAAAATTTAACCGAAATACAGGCTCAAAAAAATTTTTTTTTCAAAAAAAGGTCCTGACACGAAAAAAAGGCCGTAATAATAGTAGGAAAAAAATACAATATTATATATATGTTTACAATATTATATATATGTTTTTTTAATATTTCCTTTTTGAACCCCATTTCTGAAAAAAATCCTACAGTTTTCCACGTCGTTATTTTCAAGGAAAGGTCTTGAAACGAATCCCGAAATAGTGTTGGAAAACAGGAGAGCATCCAGTTTTATAACAACTTTTTGTTGAAACGCAAATACTCCATACAATGAAAATTTCAAGATTTAGCCTTTATGACTATTTTTCTAAGCGGTAAAGTCATTTATCGCCAAAAATAACACTGAAAACGGCTCTTCGTTTCGATACCTTCATAGTACTTCCTAGCATGCTCCTTTAAAAAAATGAGCCAGAAAACGGTATCAAAAAGACATAAAAAAATTTTTTTAAAAATTAAAAATGAATCAAATTAAAAAATTTCGCGGGGGGCGGGGCGTTTATCAAAAAAACCATTAGTTCTTTTTTTCAAAAATTCTCTCTTTTCAAAATGAAACTACTGTTTCGAAAGTATTTCAAAGTCTTTAAGTACCTTAAAAATTCTAATAATAAAATGTCACTCAGCAATGAAAAAAATTGAAAATGTTTTTAAAAATTTTGGAAAAATACCGATTTGAAAAATTCAAAAAAAGCGGGAAAGTGAAGTTCAGAAAAATTAAAACTAAGGTTTTGAAAAATCCAACCAATTGTTTATATTATGCACACTTTTCAAAGGATTTCTATCCCAAAAACAGGGAAAAATCTTGAAAAAAAGTAAAAAAACTGAAAAACAGAAAAAAATGGATATGAAAGATTCAAAAAAATGGATTCTTAAGTATTAAATCTCTACCATTTCTTTTTTTAAAAGCACAGTTTTTTTAGGAAATTTCGCTCTCAGAAACTGCAGAATAATTGAAAAAATACGTTCAGAAAAAAAATTTAAAAAAAAACGAACCCCATTGCAAGAAGGTGCATACAAATCGAAGCGGGAACGATAATCCTGGTCCATAATGATACAAGAAGAACGTCTAGACAGACATCGATCCGGAATGTCTGAAAATATCGATTTTATTGATTTTTTTCCATTTCAAGAAAAAGGAAAAATTTTCCATTCAGAAATCACCAAATTCATCTTTTTTTATCAAAAATTGGACGTTTCAAGAGGAAAAAAATGATCAAAAATTCCATACATTTCCGTCCAAAAAAATTAGTTTCAAAAGAAAAAAATGTCATTGAACGATTGAAAAAAACTGTCGAAATTCATTGATTTTTGTTTAGTCGTAAAAAAATGAAAAAAATTGAAAAAAATTTTTCCATTCTGAAATCACCAAGAACATCCATTTCTCAATAAAAAAATGACGAAAAAAATCGATTTTTTTAAAAAAATCTCAATAAATTTCTGTGAAAAAAATTCGGGTAAAAACGAATAATTTGAAGAAACTGTCAAAAATTCTCAACATTCAAAGCTAAAAAAACCAAGAAAAAAAGAGAGAAATCGTAATTTTAAGCTTTTACAGTGCACAAACTCTTTGGAAACATTGAAAAATTCAGGCAAAAAAACAAGAAAAAAACTAATTTGAAGAAAAAAATCAATTAAAAAAATTCATGATTAGAACTGAAAAATAATTCACAAAAAAATAAATGAATTTTCGACTTTTTTTAAAAAATTGAATAAAGCCACTTTTGATTGCGACAATGAGTTGAAATCCGAAAAATCAGAGAATCAAAGAAAGTCATAAAAGAAACATTTTTTTGAAAGGAATTGAACTTGAGAAGTATCAAATGAAAAAAAGTCACAAAAATTGAAAATTCAGATCATAAAGTTTCAAAAAAATCAAAAAATGAAAACTGACTGGCAGGACAGGCCCTGGGACAAAGACAAACTCCGTGGCCGTCAGTTCCGATCCGACAAATCCCGTTATTCACGCAGTCGTAGTTCGTTTTGCAGCTGGGAACACCTGGAATCCGTTTTTCCTATGAAAACTGTTTCATATTTTCAAAATTAAGCAATTTCCTCCAGCTCAAGACAATATTTTATGAATATAAAGAAACTAAATATATACTTTTCCGTGGCCCCTAAAGTGATCCCTTTTTAAAACTTGTTTTGGAAGGGAACTCCCATCTCTTTCTGCTAAAAAATGGTCGAAGAGCCCATAAATCAACTTCGGAACTTCTCTAAGTGACCCCTCAAGCGGTCCACTTCAAAAAATTGACCAAAACGAAATTTCCTTCCTTTTCCGCTCAATAGGAATCGAACTGCTCAAAAAACAACATTGGAACTTCTAAGTGGTCCCTGCAGTGATCTCCTTCATCTCCCATCTTCATTTCCAACAAAATTTTCTTTTCCAAGCGTGCTCAAAAGTGGTCAAACTGTTCAAAAATCCAACCTCCAAGAACCCGTTAAAGCGCTCAGCTTCCTACTCTAACGTAGACATCTTTCATGTTCCCCAGTGATTAAAAAACCTCTAAAGGGGCCCCTTAAGGGTGTTTCGAAGAACAATCATAAAAAAAAACTAGAAATCCTTCATTTTCTGCTCAGTGGAGGTAAAAGTTTTGAAAAATCAACTTTGGAACCTCCAAGTGACCCCTTAAGTTACCAACTTTCGCTTAAAATTGGCTGGAATGCTCATAATTTAACTTCGCACCTTCAAAGTGGCCCCTAGAGAGCTCAGCTCTGAACTTTAACTTTCTCATCTTTTCAGTCATGAAAAGGAGCTTAAGAAGCCCCTTGAGGGAATTTCAGAGAGCCCAAAAAAAAACCTAAACAACCTTCCTTCACCGCTCAAAGTGGTCAAACCTCTTACAAATCAACTTTAGAACCTTTAAGTAGTCCCTACAGTGCTCAGCTCTGAACTCTGACCTTTTATCTTTCTTTTACTACAGGGATCAAAAAGCTGCTCAAGCGGCCCCTTAAGGGATTTTTAAAAGTCCCAGAAGAAGAAACCTTTGTTTTCTTCTGCTTAAGTGGTCTCTTAAAGGATTTTCCACTATTTCAAAAAAAAAAAAAACAAAAATTGCTTCATTCTCTGCTCAAAAATCGCTTACAAATCTTCCTTAAAACCTTCAAGTGACCCCTAAAGTGCTCAGCTTTCAATTCTAACTTTCTCATCTCTACAATGATCAAAAAGCCTCCCAAGTGATCCTTCAAGGGATTTTCAAGTGGTCCCTATAATGCTCATTTCAAACTCAAACTTTCTCATCTCTACGGCAATCAAAAAGCCTCCCAAGTTGTCCCTTAAGCGATTTTCCAGACACCCCACCAAGTTCGACGGCGTTCTTCGGCTTGTCGACGTCAGGACTCGGATCCGATTCAGAAGACGTCGAATTGGTGACGTCGACGATGACGTCACCCCGCGTACTCCTCAGGAAAAGCCACACCAGCGTGGCCCACCAGATCCAACAACGCATTTTTCTTCTTTTTCTTCTAACAAATTAACATCTCGTCAGCGAATTTTTGTTTATTCTGGGCAGGAATAAAGTCGAGAATCGCAGGCCGTTCGAGCTGAAAATTTCGAAATTTGACTGGGAAAATTGAAGGAAAAAGCAAAAAAGTGCGCGGAAAAATGTAGTTTCGATGGAGGATTGGATACAAAAATTAGACAGGTACAAAACAGGGGAAATTTTGAAATGGGAAAGCAAAAAGTACAGAAAAATGAGAGCACATTTTTCAAGGAAAAAAGTTTCAAAAAAACAAAAAAATAATATTATTGACATTATCATTGTAAAAAAATCAGCTTTTCTTCTGTATAAAAAAATTTAAAAAAATGAAGCTGATTTTTTAAAAAAAATAAAAAAATCGAGTGATTTTTCGGCGCGTCCGACCGGAAAACGGCTTACGCCTTGTGACATGAGAAAACACCATTTCGAGATATTATTCCAGAGAAAAATCTATGAAACACCGTTTAAACGAGGAAAAAAAGACAAAAAAATATTAATCCGACAATATCTAGAAAAGGAGATGAGCAATGACAGAAATCAAATTTAACGTTTAAATATTCCCAATGAAACAGTAAAAATAAGTTATAGGAGAAAAATGTTGCACAAAAAATGACAAAAAAAGGCAATATTTCCACGGAATTTCCGGTCGTTTATGAGGTATTTTTTTAAAAATAAATCAATAAAAAAACCGGAAGCCAGAAGGGTTATCCAACTTTAACGTTGCAAAAAAAGCTCAAAAAAATAAAGTTCTCTTCAAAAAATCAATGAAAATTTCACAAAAAATCGATAGAAAAATTTTCAAATCAAAAAAGCTATTTTTTTTTGTTTTTTCTCAGTCTATAGTTCAAGAAACAGATGGATAATGAAAAAAAAATTAACATTTTCCCTAATTTTTGCCCAAAAAAGGTTTAATCTGAAAATGAATAATCTAGAAACCGCGAAAAAAAAACATTAAAAGCAAAGTTTCCTTGAAAGAACTATCAAAAAATCAATATTCAACTTTGAAAAACGCAAAAAAAAGAATGAACATAAAAAAAGACGAGTGGAATCGATGGAATCGGAAGGAGAAAGTGTAAGAAAAAGATGTTTTTGGGGCCAAACTCGCCCAAAAATGTTTCCAAGTGAGTTGAAAACATTCGACCCTGTGACGAATACAGGGCCGGCCGCAAAAAATATATAAATAAAAAAATGGACGGTTGAAATTGAAGAAAAAAATGGCGATTTCGAAGCGAAAAAAACGTTGTAATTTTTCGTATTTTGTACACTTTCTACAAAGAAAAATGGCTAAAATGATATTTTATTGGAAAACTTTGAAAAAAATGCGCTTTTTCTCCTATAAATTGTTCAGAAAAACCACGATTTTCCCTATTTTTTGACCAGAATCGTCTTAAAAATCAAAATTACCCCATTTCACTGAATGATAAGGCTTTTTCACAATCTAAGGACAGGAAATCGGGAAAAAAATATACAAATTTTAGACAATTTCGTAGCGAAAAAAACGTTGTAAATTTTAGTATTTTGTACAATTTCTACAAAGAAAAAGTTGTCAAAATGATATTTAAAAGCCGTTTTTTTCCCAGAAAAAAATAGGATAATTCGCACAGAAAAAAACCAAGATTTTTCCTTATTTTTTTGATCAAAAATTATTCTTTTTCACTGAAAAAAACAAGACTTTTTTTACAACTTACGAACAGGAAATCGAGAAAAAAATATACAAATACAAAAGAAACGGTTGAAAATGATAAATTCGAAACAAAATACGTTTCACTCTGCGTATTTTGTACACTTTCTACAGAAATAATTAATGCTGCAAATTTTCGAATCGATAAAAATGCGTTTATTTCCCAGAAAAGCAAGATAAATTTTCCAGAAAAACCACGAAAATCCCCATTTCATGACAAGAATCACCCCAAAAATCCATACTTTTTCCAAGTTTTTCCCCAGAAACAAGCTTTATATAATATTTTTCTAAAAGTTCAGAAAAAGGAATTTTTGGCCCAATGACACAAAAAATTATGATTCTTTTTAGGATGATCGGTCGAGGAAGAAAAAAATCTTTGAAAAAAAGGCGAAGCAGCAAAATTCAAAGAATGAGTCAGCATGAAACACGGAAGAAAAAAAGCAAAATTTATAAATAGAACAGTCAAAAAAATTCCTTAAAAAAGTTGGAAAATTCGAAAGATCAAAGAAAATCGACCAAAAACTTGTTTTTCCAAGTTTTGACCGTGATGGGGGGTGTTTGCAGAACTTCAAACTACAGTAACCGTGAAAAATCTTACGTTTCTACTGTTATAAATTGATTTATTTTTCGGTTTTAAGGTAGAAAACATAGCAAGAAATTTGAAAAACTCAAAAAAATAGCCAACTTTGAAAAAAACCCACTAAATACTTCGAGAAAACCACTAAAAATCGATTTTTTTTTTCTCGCAAAATAAATCAAAATTTCTTCAAAAAACCTTCAAAATACAAGTCCAAAACGGTTCAAACCACTAAATAATTCATAAAAATCACTAAAATCGACACTTTCTCGCCAAATTCGTCAAATCTGAGTCAAAAAAGCTTCAAAATACATGTTTCAAACGGTTCAAACCACTGAATCCTTCATAAAAATCAGTAAACTCGACATTTTCTCGGAAAATTAGCCGAAATTTCTTCAAAAACGGTGTCCAAAGCGATTGAACCCTAAATAATACATAAAGCCACTAAAAACCGACTTTTTCTCGTGAAATCAGTCGAGGCTTTTTCAAAAAAGCTTCAAAAAGCAAGTCCAAAACGATTCAAAACACTGAATCCTTCATAAAATCACTAAAAAACGGCTTTTTCTCGAAAAATTAGCTGAATTTCCGTCAAAAAAGCTTCGAAATACAAGTTTTAAACGGTTTAGAACACTGAGTTCTTCATATAAACTACTAAAAACCAGCTTTTCTTGCAAAATTCGTCAAATCTACGTCAAAAAAAACCTTGATATACAAGTCCAAAACAATTAAAACCACTGAAATCTTCAGAATAACTTTTAAAAACCGACTTTTTCAACTGAAAACCCGATATTTCCAGCGAAATTAGCCAAACTTGCTCTGAAACGATTCAAAATACAAGTCAGAAACCGTTAAAACACTGAATCCTTTATATAAATTACTAAAAACCGGCTTTTTCCCGCAAAATTAGCCAAAGTTTCTTCAAAATACAAGTCCAAAACGGTTCATACCACTAAAAAATCTAGAAAAACCACTAAGAACCGGGTTTCTTCTCGAAAAACAAGAGGACAGTAGCTTCCCAGAGGGTCGCCAACTCCGAAATAAAGTACATCGTTGTGGGAAAACGATATATCGGACCAAAACCGACGTGGGCGACGACGACGTACGGGCGGAGCGGAAGCGAGAGAGCACGGAGGTCCGTCAGACGGTCAGACGGAATACGCGAAACAATTTGCAAATTTTCCCCCGACGAAACCGATCTTCGATCAGTTCTCTGATCTGGTATCGATTCGAAAGATGTTGTGAAATTTGAAAATTCGGCTCAAATGATTTCAGAAAATACCTTTTTCGAGCAATTTTCAGTGAGAAAAGCTTCGAAAATTTCGATTTTTTTTTTATTTTTTCATGCGCCGTAAAACAGGACAAAGTACGTCAAAAAGACTTGAGAACTGAATAAAAAAATTAATTATTTCAAAATATTCAATCAAAAAAATTATTTTTTTACTCGGTTCAAAAACAAAAACCACCAATTTTCAAATTTCAATGGATTTCAAGCCTTTTTTCCTAAATTTCGAAAAAGCATTATAAAAAAACTTAGTTTCTGCTTTGGAATCACAAAAAAACATTTTGAGAAGAGAAAAAAATCACTTAACGAATAAAAAAACAAAAAAATTAAACTCCAAGTTAAACTTTAGCTGAAACTGTAAAGTCCTGTTGAACAGCAAACGAGTTCATGAACAAAAAAATGACTATAAACAAATAATTTTTTTAGGAAATTCGGCACTTTTGCTTATTAACGACTTCAACAAGATATATTAGGCCTGTTAGGCTAGGAAACTATCAAAAAAATTAAGAAAGAAATGAATAAATTTACCCAAAAAAATTATTTTTTTGAAGAAGTTACTTCCTTTTCAAAGGAAATTAATACTAAAAAAATAGGAAAAATGAAATTATTTCTCCGTTATTGAGCAAGATCATAAAAAAATGATTCAAAAAAACAAAAAAACAAAAAAACTAAAAAAAGTTCGACGGAAAAACAAGACAACAAACGCCAGGACCCCGCCGCGAATGGCAAAAAAACTGCGCGGCGATTGCAAAAATGTTAAAAACTCATCATTTCTACTAATTTATGAACTTGACGCGAACCCGCAGCCAATAATAAAGAAGACAGCCGCGGCAACATCACTCGACGTTATTTTTTGTCCTTCTTCCAATTGTGTGCGAACAGAACGAGACATGATCGAATTCAATTATTACACAGCACACTTTTTGCTGTTTGAAATGGAAAAATACCGTCTTTCGGTCTCAAATTTGAACTTGAAACGGGACAAAAGTATAGATTCTTTAGCTTGAAACGGATTTTTGGTGGGAGAGAGTGTGTGGCGTGTGACGGCGGATGGGTAATCAAATAAATGGCGTCGTTTTGGCGCATTTTCGGGGGGCTCGGACTTTGGCTCACGATTGAATTATGAAAGGAAATCCTTGGGGGAAATCTGAGTTCGGATTTTGATGGGAGTAGATAAGCGACTGGAACTTCTTACTATACGAAAAGTGAGCGAATTATGAGAATGATGAATGAATTCAAGCAAAAATATTATTTTTTGAAAATGCGTCTTGACCGTAATAGAAGGTGTTTGCAGACTTTTGAGTCTACAGTATTCCTTTTTAGTTGGAAACTTCACTTTTTGGGCTTTACTCAAAGTATGAAAATTGGTAAAAATAATGAAGAAAAAATCAAGCAAAATATAATATTAATTGGAAGAGGCGTGAAAGTGC